GTTCATCAGCAGCTCGCTCTATGGGCGGACTGGCGACGACAGACTCTTTCGGTCTCATAGAGTCCTACAAGAAGATGGAAGTACTTGGCGAGGGCTCCTACGCCACCGTCTATCGCGGCTACTCCCAGTAAGATCAGATTTGTAGCCTTGAGACACGATATTTTCATAAAGTCCCTCTGTTTGTTGATCTCTTCTGTTCGGTGGCTTGCAGTTGTTTCATTTACATGATTTTTGAAGTGGTGCAGGTTTCCCAAAAAAGCATGCACGCTAATTAATTACAAAGCGTTTGCTTATCACAGTACATCCAACATTCGAAACAGAAAGCAACCCACATATGATGCAAGGAAATTCAGCGACTAGATTAATAGACGTCGTCGCAGCTGAGAATAGCACGGCCCTATGGCTGGAGTAAAGTCCAATGGCCAGAGGATTCGGGTTCGAATCTATACCTGGGATTGTGTATAGTTGGCCGGCGATGACTATTAAGCCAGAAACGCCCAAACTAGTCACCTCTGTCTTCATTTTTTGGGAAAACAGCTTTCTAATTGCTGTGGCTTCTGGCCTGGGAACTACTGAAAACGCGAAGTAGTTTGATCACATACTTCAAAACGCATTCCCTTTTATATTGAAAAGCACTGTTAGTCAACGGATATCCTCCGTTCGGCGATCGATGTCGCTATCCGACTTAGGCCTCGTATTTTAAGCGTCTCCACAAACGCAGTTTAGAGATGTGAAGTCCGGCGGCCGGAAAAGTATTCTCCGATACTACTTTTTCCAATCCAAATGTCTTGTAGGACCTCATCAATGTTGCCTCATACATCGCGACGATTGTGTGATGGTGCCAAATCTTGCTAAAAATAAATGTTCTCATGTTCAAAACCCAGTCTATTCCCCATTATTCCTTCCAATGAAGGCAAAACGCAAACTGTGAAACCCCAGTTCAACAATTAACAGTTAAAATATGCATACGTTTATAAGGCGCGCTGTATACACAGAAAGTGATTTGTCCTATTCTCTGTCGAGAAGGTTTCGTCTTAGTAAAAGTTGCCGCAAGAATGGCATTGAGGCGGGAATCACCAGATGCCATATTAGGAGAAACGGTGTTCTCCTGTACCAGTATAGTCTGCGTCCTGAGATCCGAGGTTTCGAACCCGGTGGCGAAATTTCCAGGTTATGGTACACTGGGGTTGCGCGCACAGCAGTGTCTGTTGCCTGACCGCGTCAAGTACTCCGCTTTCCTGTCCGGCAGTGAAAACATCCCATGTTTCACTTGACGTCCTAGTCTGGTCTACTTTTTATCCAGGGGTCTCACCTCGGAGATTGGGTCACAGGAGCCTCGGTATGGCGACCAACATAAAGGCACTGATGCCGTCCCAATTCTTGTAGCCTTCTAATTGTATCTCGTCGTGTCAGCCCATCACACCACCGGACTAGTCCCCCGCTGCTTTTCAGGCTTCAAACTGCTAATTGCCGTCCTATGACCTATAGAGCACGAACCATTTCTTCCCTTATCAATTTGCACCTTCCATAGACTTGTTTTTACCTATTTCCCTTGCCATACGAAGTTGAGACGTCCTTCAATGTAACCTCCTGCTTAAATGGAGAAAAATCTCGACAATGGTCTCGTGTTCGAATCAGTAGCTATCAAATCAATTGTACCACGTTAACGAAATTAAACCGCAGTCCTTTAGAACCTCTACAATAAACACATAGAATAAGATTTCTTGGATGTAACTGCTTTTTTAACGCTCTGTAATCGAATTGATTTTCTGAAAAATCTACTTAATCCCGTCAGGATGAGAAATTGAGCTCCTCATGTCAGCAGAAAACGCAATCCGTTCCTTTCATAGAGAGCTGTAAGTGAGTTTCGAAATGGGGCAAACGTCGCCCAAACGTGTGCTCTTCGGCGCTTCTTGTGCTTGCTTGTCGGTGTGTGTGTGGGTGACGAACGACAGCCAGGAGTGTTTGGGAACGCCGCCGCCTGCCGGGGAAAATAACTGCGAGCTGAAATGCCACATCTGAAAAAGTGAGAGAAGCGCTAATTGAGACGTGTTTCCTGGTGGTCTAATGCCTCAGACTGTAGGAGTAGGCTCTCTGTCTAAACGGGGCAATTGGACAAAATCCACTGGAATTATATTCTTCGAGTCTTTTTTTCCGGTATGTCAGAATACTGACTAACTTCGTCCCTTTCGCAGCTCCGTCATCTTCCCGTTTGTGTCGATAAGTTTCGCTGGTGGGTGACCAGCACCCAATCATGATGATTGTTTTAATGTAACAGCACTATGTGTTTCCCAAAATGCAGCTGGAAACCGAAAACAGGTTTATCTGACCGTGGTCATGTTTTCAGAGCATGCACAATTCGAATTTAAAACCCATCCTGAAATATAATTTGTTCTCTTTATCCTCCGTTTGTTTATTTTGTCGATTTATTAGACGTGGAAGCCATTGGTTTATTGGAACTCGCTGCGTGCGGCTTATTAGCTGTCACCCATTAAGAACTTTTTGCTAGACTTTCGCATGCTTGATAAGGCGGAGTTTTCGAACTCATCCCTCTTTTAAAAATTTCAGGTGTCCTAAATGTCAACTGCAAACGCCATGAATTTACCAACCTTCCTTAGGTATGAGTACCGTCCAACACACTCTTTTAATAGCGCTCTTATGGAGATTCAGCGAAGCATTTCTGCCACCTGACGACGATGTATCACTTGTTTATTACAATTAGTGACCGATCTCATGAATCATTATCCGGGCTTCTGTAATGCGTTTTCCGTTAGTAAGGACTACGGGGGTAGGGTTGTGAAATTAATTATCATCTGGTCTACTCCCGTAATAATTTGGACACGTCAGGATGTTGGCTCTTGAATGCACCTCTTTTCAATCCTCGTAAATCCTTACCTAGTAATAAATGGCGTGTATTTTTTACATTGAATTTCGTCGTCCCTATAAATTCGGATATACTTTACGGTGGAAGTGCGTAAAAGATGCTTTATTTTGCTGATTTGGTGACTAATCGCTTCGTCTTCACATTTTATGCTCGAAAAAAAGTATATTTGGGTTTAGAAGAAGTTTTCCAATCCACGAATTATTTTTAGCCTGATCAGCCGTCGGATTCGCGTTTAACGACTTCAGCCTACAAGATGTATACTTTACGCATAAATAAGATCACTTTTTCCTCTGTGCCTTTAAGAAGGTATTATGTAACGGTCAGAAAAGTTTGCAGTGAATGCGAATCTTGTTTTATATGTCATGAGTAGCATTACTAAACGGAGAGGTACGATGTTGTATGGACGGGCATTCCAAGGTCTTAAGCTATGTCATTATTGGAAGCTTTTTTTTAAAGCCGAAAGGCACTCTCTCATCGGATACCAAACGTGGAGGGGACGTGATGCGCTATCAAATGAGTGAAAGTAAACATGTATTGGGCATGCGTTCTATACAATATGTTTGAACTTTGGGAGGCATCGAAAGAAATGTAAAAAAGCATGTTATTTGAGTAGTCATCTTTTACCGAATGGAAATTTTACGGCTGGCCGAAAAGAAGTACATTCGAAGACCGAAATCGTTGAACGTTTGAAGGATTCAAAAACTACGCGGCACCATAATCAATATTGCAATGCCACATACGCAATTTTTCCTAAGTGAAAACGCACTTCAGAATTTCGGCAAACATTTCATGTGATTAGTCCCTGACTGTAGATTTAGTAAAGAGGCAAAACTCCTAAATGGGGCATTAAAATAAAACCGTCCTGCTAGCCTACGACACATACAAAAAATTAATTTTCAATTGGCAATTGTCTGAATAAATAGAGCATATTATCCTGGAAAATCAAACGTTTCAATTTGTCGAATTTTAAGAAGCAGAAATGACAGTTGTAATTCTGAATTACATTAGAATGTTACGAGCTGAGCTTTGCTCTCAACAGCGGCGGTTTTATAAGCGCAGATCTATTCTTTCCTACTGGCTGGGAAGTAGGTGTCCGTAAATGAGCCGAAGCGCTTTGCGGACAATTTGCACTTTTAAACTGTAGCGTTTTGAGCCAAAGGTAGCCCTGTAAAATTGAGGCAAAGACGCTTTTCCAAAAAGTTAGCCTATTCCACTGCACCGAGTAATAGCAGCATGGTCGATAACTGGCGGGACGCTGCTGGCTATTGTTGATACGGGAGCTTGTATGAAAACAGGCCGCAGTAGCGCGTACAAATGCCGAATTCTGTCTCTGCTGCACTCAACCTGCATATACAACTAAATGCTGTGCGGCTGCCTGCGACGACAGTAGACTGTGTTGCAAGCACGCCCCATAATCTGATCGATGGAAACTCCTACACCATGGATCGCGTTATGGAACCTGCTCGTCCCCCTGTGTTTCAAAGATCGGCTTAAAGCTCTGTAGCCAGTCACAAAGCGATTAGTTTCGGCTTCTGCATATATTACTAGTCGCTGTGCGACTGCCTGCGGAGTTTTAATTCGAGCGCCAAAGCCAAACGGGCCGAGTGGGTCCCGTAACGCGATCAGTGAGCACCATTTATCAAAGTGGATATGCCCGATTTCAACCAACACGACAACGAGCGTGGCGCAATGGTTAAAGCGTTGGCCTTTCAACCGACAAAGTGCGACTTCGAGCCTCAGAGTTTGATTATCTGGATTCAGGCATGACGAGTTGATGACTACTGGTAAACCGGAAACGGCCATTCCAGTCTTTATTTTCGTGTATGGATGTCAAAAGTTCACAGAGAGTGTTAAAAAAACTTCATTTTTAAAATGCTCGATACTGGTTTTTACTGCCTTCCTCGGACGGGCAGTAAGCGTGCAAAACGTTTAAAATGTAAACCTGCCAAAAAACAATAGCGTTCAGTGTTAGTCAACTATTGCTGTTGCTCGACCACCTGTTTGGATTGGCTGTCGTCCTATCCTTGATGTACCTATACACGTTGTCTAATTCGACCTGCTTATTAATACGCGAGTCCTCGGAGTGTATGGCTTCCAGAACTTCTCGACCTCTTTGGAGGGACAAGCGCCAACGGTACAAGTTTTATTCCAAGTCACTGCTTGTGTAGTTTTTGATATGACGACGTTGGACTGTTGGTTTCGTCTCTGTATCGTCAATTAGTGTTTATCTATGCGTTCAGAAGCTCATTTTCCAGTTTGGCCACAGTACTAATTGCACGAGATATCGCACTGGAATCCTGTTGACGACTTAAAAACATCCACTCCTACGTTAAGGTTGCTAGGTATTTGAGGGCAGTCCTGTTTGATCGCTGTTGTCAATTCAACGAGAACTGCCGGTTTTTTGGCATAAACTTTCTACATAAGTATCGGCAAAGATGGTCTGGCGTTAAACAACTTCCGTAAATTCACTTGTTTGACAAAATCGCATCAAAGTAACATCTTACGTCCAGATGAGTGGTATCATGTGCCTAATCGTGCCAAAAATAAAATTCCTCATCAGAGATCCGTCTGCGAACCGGCGTGAAATTTATTTCTCAATCCCTTAGTAAAAAGAGACGAAACTTTGAATCTCAGGACGCCGTTGAGAAGGAGATTCCATCTTTGGAACAAGAGTCTTATTCGTTTGACTTATCCGGCTTATCGGATTGTTATTGGAAACCACCATTACAGACAATTGCGGTCTAGTATGCATATTACGCCTCATATCTTGGCAACGTAATTTTGTAGATGTAGAGCGTATTCTCTTTTCTATTAGCGTTTACCGTGAAAGTCTGTGAAATCTTACTTCTAGAAGTCTTTAAACTGATACGCACGCCTTTTCGAAAGACCGCATCCAAGAGAAAGTACTGATTTTTTTGGTTTGTTGTGATTCCTGCGTTTTTGAAATTTTTGTCTTATTCACATTACACAGCCTACAATCAACAGCCGGCCTGACTTACTATGCACACACTTTCTTCCGGATAGATTCTATTAGAAAATGAAAAATTTGGTCATCCGCAGAATTTTAATTCTAACCGGATCTTCCTTACTTATACATGTGCCGAACATCGGGGGCCAGAACAGCTGCCCAGTTTGTCGTTGGTTTTTATTGCGTTAAGTTGGTCAGTCGATGTTCAATCCATTTAACGGGGAATTTCGACCACCTGACAGTCAAGCATGTGGTCTATCCGCTCATATAGCATCTGTCCTTGAAAGACAGTAAACAAAATATATGGAAGGTTTTCTGGCTGTGACCTTGGTTCACCTGTTGTTCCTACCTAAGTTCACTGTGCTTTGATGGGAAACTGATATCTTCGTCTCTTAGCACGAGTTTCAGATTAAAAGGGCTGTTAACACCACGAAGAAAGTCTTGCGTAGACATAAATTAACACATTGAGTAGGGTTATAGTCTCTCATTTTAAAAGAAAGCTCAGAAGACAAGGTCTGTAGCAAGAGTAGTCTCGTCCGCTTTATTGGGTCAACAAGCTAGCATTTAAGGGACAGAGAGCCTCCGTTCAATGTTTTTCTATTGAACGTGCGACCAAGTTGAATTAATAATTACTTCTAGAAGGTAACCGAGTCTATTAGAATTTTTAATTCTTCGCTTGACAGCTGCCGGCTTGCATTAATTTAAAAAAATAGTTGTCCTAGAAGCTGTGTTTCCAAAATTGTTAACGGATTTAACTTTTTGCCTCCGAACGTTTCTACTCTTTGCTATTCTTACGATTCTTCTTTCTTCAGCTTGGCAAACCAAATAGTGGCTGTGAAAGAAATACGCATCAATCCAGACGAGGGCCTTCCGTTCACAGCTATACGTGAAGGTGAGTGATATTGTTCTCAGATTTCAAGCCAGACCCGAACCACTGGATTTTATAATTGCAGTGATTGTTTCTTCGTGCTGACATGCTGTTTGCCTAAGAGAGCGAGTAGGCCCGTTTGATCAAGAAAAGCACACGAGTTCCAGCACGTGTCGATGGCAATTACTAGCCTTTTTTTCCAACATTAATGCGACTGTTTTTATTTAGGCACATTTTTGAGCGACAGTCCGGTTAAGCAAGTCTTCATTTCCATTCACTTCGTTTCAAAAGTTATTTTTTGACAAAACGTGAACAGAAACATAAAATCTTGTCACATGCGTATTCGGATGGATTTGAAAATCAAGCTAGTGCACCTGAACATATAAAAAACTCGCCTTTTTTATTTACATCCAGAATTTCGGATAGATTGAGCTAAAACTGGGGAAAATCGGTCGTTCAATTTCTCGATTTGCCTCGGACCAGATCGTTAAGAAGGGCAAAAAATAAGTCGTTCATAATTTCACTGAAAAGCCCTGAAACATACTTCTGGAAGAAGGGTTCATTAATTCCGATTAATCTCCTCGCACTAGTATTAAGAATTTGGATCCTGAATAGACGCGGAGGAAAATATATGTAGGTCCTTTCGGGTGGTCGCGATGTGTGCAACTCCAGATCAGCAAAGTCTGTCGGCCGATTAAACACTGTTTGTGATATTTTTAATTTCTTCTTGCGCCCTATAAGTGATGTCTGAGAAGGGCTTCGACCTCTTCCTCACGGTTTCTGCTAAATATACTCCTTGGATCATGTTCAAAGTTTTCCAGGCCCGACTCGAAATGATAGGTTTTTTTAACTAAATTTCATGTTATTAACCGTTCAAAGAAAACATAACCGAAATGCGAAAAATAGCTACTAGAAGTGAACTCGTATAACCCCCGTTGCATGAAGACAAAGGTGAAGTCGTTGAGGCCCAAATAATCAATGCTTTTCTTGAACCGAAAAAAGGCTATCAATTATTGAAAATTATATCATCAGGCTACTGGATCCCAGTCATTCCGTGGGTAAAAGCACTTTTTACCTGACGATAATTCCGCGCAGTTGTCGTTAACTAGGTCCCCAAATGGTGGGCATCTTTGAAATGTTTGACCGCTCGACGCTTGAGCTGACACAAACGTCACGGCAATAATTCAGTCGCACAACAGTGACTTTTGTCCTGCTTCCTAAAATTTGCACGAACTGGTGAGTGTTTCATTTGGCGCGGAAGCCCTTGTATGCGGCAGTCGCGGACCACAATGTCCCGATGACCATAAATCACTTACGATTCAAATTGCTCCATTACTGGAGATTATCAGTATTTTTTCCCAGATTTATGCTTATGAAATATGGATGGCTGCCCTTCTTAAACCGAAAAAATAACGTTTTCTAAAGCCAATTTAAGTGAAGATGCCCTCGGAGGATCGGATCTGGTGTGCTTATTGTAATGTTCAGGTCGCGCGCAAATATTGCATACAAATTTCATTGAAAATCCTGTTATGCCGAAGTGCGAACTGAACGTAAAGTCATTCTGAAAGGTGGTCAAGTTTTCTTCACGCAGTTTGCACTCCCCCGAGTCAGTGAAGTCTTGGTTGCGAAACGTCTTTTAATAAGCCCTTGTGTGTCTATATTTTCACATTAATGTATTTAGAGATTGAACAGCCTATGTGTTTTTTGGTTTTCTTCAGCTTCACTGCTGAAGTCACTACGGCACGCCAACATAGTCACTCTACATGACATCGTGTACACCAAGTCAACTTTGAACTTCGTCTTCGAATTCGTCGTAAGTTCTTTCAAAATGTTACTGTCAGTTAGTCGCTCTTAAAACTTTCGTTGCGGCCGACAAGTGGGAAAAACGAACAGATACATTTACTTTAATCCCGCTCAAAAATATTCTCAAATGGTTGAAAAGATGGCATTACATCTCTACTAAAGAAACTGAAGATCAATGAAGGGTGATTGCCGGCATTAAAGCCGTTTGCTTATCTTAGGTATAGATGTTTTATTCGTCAAACTTTTCTCAGACAACCTAATGAACTTTACTAGAGGTTCTGAGTAACCTTACACTCGAAAATGGAATAAATATACCTGTTTTTCTTGCTTTTTGGAAGCTATAAGGAGACAACCTAATTTGTCAAACACGATGGGCATTTTCTAAGGAAAATTAAATGAAATCATAAAAGCAGCTGCCCAGCACAAGCAAATCTTCATACGCGGATAAGATCAGCTGACCACAGTCTGTAGGTAAGTAATACGAGAAAGAATAGGTTTTGTTTGCGTCAAAATGAGTGTTGACTCCTGAAAGCTATGCCAATTCCATGCATCGTTCTGCTACGTTTCCCACGACAAAACACACCACGTTAACTGCAGATAAATGCCAGGATGTCATCATTTTGCAAACAGTCGTTTTTATCAGAAATCATATTTTTCCGATAAAAAAGCTTTAGAACAAAACATACGAATGCGTACATGGTTGTTCCAAAAGTAGTGCGAGCAACCGTTCACCTGGAAGACGCGAACTGGTCTTGATCATTTGTTTTTTATTTAAGAGAAAAATATTTTGATGTGAAATCTATTTCCCCACCTTATCTATTGCTTGGTGAAACGCTGCAATAAGCTTTGCTACAAAATCTGTCTAGTGGCGGGGGAGGTTCAACTAAACTTTTTGTAGAATGCTATTACCGACAAAGACAAGGGAGACTGGAATGGCCATTTCTGGCTTATTAGCCGTCGTCAGCCAGCCATACTCAAGCCCGAAGTGTGGAACACCTGAGCCTCGAACTCGCGACCTGTTGGTTTAGAAGTCCACGCCTCTACCCACCGGGCCACGAGCCCATTGCCCTGTCGGTTTTGTGTTTTGTGTTTAAAAAAATCCGGTTGCACTGATGATTCAGAATGGTTTTTTAGGATGAACGTTAACCTACGTATCAGCCACATTTCGTTGTTTTGGCATTTTGTCAACAGCAAATTTTGATGGCTTGTATAAAAGTAAAAAAATATTGTTTAATAATGAGTGAACTGCGAAAGCGTCGTTAATCGGGAATTTAAAGTACCACATCTTACTACACGGTCCATCGTTTTCTATGCAAACGAGGATAATTGACAGTGCCATTGAAGTTCACTAAGTTAGAGGGCCTCGTTTTCTGTTTTTTGATTCTACAATAATATCAGTAATACATGACTGTCGCTTGTGATTCGGTATCAGGAAAACATTGTTAACTTATTTTCAGTTATATTGGAAAAATGTGGAGGTAGTTTTACACATACTCCCAGCACTTCGCTTTTCGGAAAAACTATTGAAAAACCTGTTTGCCAGGGTGCTATTTTTAAGAGATATCTCGGTTTAAGCCTGGAATATTTGAAATTTAAACGCTTGCTACCTCTTCCGGTTATTAAATATAGTCTGTATTTTTATAGTTTATAGAGATTGTCGGTGCAGTAGTCCAATAAATACTAGTGTGGACTTTTATGATACTACTTCCTGAAACGCTGTTGTCACAATAGTACATGCGGGCGACTTTATGTCCTTTGACATAATTAATACGCCTGCTAAAATCCGAGTACTTGTGTACTCTAAAATAAACTGTAAAGGTGACAAAGGAACATCTTTTGTAAAGTTTTCTGCCAAAACTAGACGAATTTTCAAATAGACGAATTTTCCCTCAAAATGATTGACTGAAACTATGCAGTTGCCAGTCCCTCTAAAAATGAATTCTTTTTTCAAATGAGGAGCAAATGAGGACTTCTTATTCTGCCTGGCTTCTAACCTTCCATTGTGAGATCGATAGAAACAATTTAAAATGATACGAGCGAAGATGCGAGTTCCAGAACCTAGTTGATCAGAAGAAGAAACGATCGCTGGAACAAGGTCTTAATTCGCCTGACGTTTCGGATTCCCACTTGAATCCGTCATCAGAGACAGCAGCTACCGTCTCTGATGATGGATTCAAGTGAGAATCCGAAACGTCAGGCGAATAAAGACCATGTTCCAACGATCGCTTTTACTTCTGATCAACAATTTAAAGTGTTTTTGAGGTGTTGCATCATGTGCGGCCTTAAGATGCAATGTTGAATTTTTTTGCCGTATTCGCGAAGCAAGATCGAGGATCCAATTAAAGCGGACATTCAAACTCTTAAGTGGACCATTAATGAAAATTTTAGATACTCATTAAGTTTTTCTGGGTCAAACAGTCTGCTAGTCGAGAAAACAAAACTCCTAATCTTTGTGAATCTGCATGGAGTAAGATCTCAATCCCTCCTGCAGACAAAGCCAGGTGATTACTCTTCAGTGAACTATGACGGGTTCCTTATATGTGACCTTCGAAGTGGGAACATTTTAGGAGAAGCATCTGAGTGCATATTAGCCTATTAAAAATTCACAATTTTTTTCGAAGTTCAGGAGACAGGGAACGTGAAAACAGCGTTTACTGGACGACCTACGGTGGCAACTTATGTCGCTTCGCCTTTCTATTTTATGCCAGTCGGCTGGGCCGACGAATCGTGCAGGCCATATCTGTAAAGAAACGTTTCTCAGTACCGCTTATTTTCTAGAATCTGCCTTCTTATCTGATCGGCCCCAAATCTCATGAGGGGATTTTCGAAACTAAGAGTTGACCGACATTTGTTGTCTTGAGAGGGCTGCAGCATAGATCTTGTTATCCTCGCTGGTTTCAAACTGAATATTTGTTTCCGGGCTATCAGCACTTGGTAGTCGAATGTTTAAACCAAGATGTTTTGAAATGCCACTTTACAACATGTATCACGTTCACATAGTGGTAGTACCTTCTATCATTTGCCGCCAATGTTGCTACATGAGATTGGCATAACCATGTGGAAATTAAGTACTTATATTTTTCGTTCGTTTTTTCCTAACACAGTCAAGACAGTCCTCATTTTTCATTTCCCTAAGGATTCAGATTTGAGCAAACTGATGGAGAAAAATCCGAACGGATTACGGTCGCAAAACGTGCAGGTACGACATTTAATCCTTATTTCAACGCCAGCTTTTCTTTCATTCGCATACTTCTTTTTTATCCATGCTTCCTCCCACCTTTCCTCTCCTTTCCTAGTAACATAGCTTCTTTGCATAGAAATGCTCCTCTTTCGGTCTCCAAAATACCCACTACTTTTGATCATTGGTTATTAAGGCAGTCATTTTGAATCTCGGATGTCCGATAAGAAAAACATGAGGAATCTGAGCACTAGATCCATTTCTAGAATCGACAAACGACACATAAATGAAAGTGGGAAAAATTCCCTTTTGTCCATTTTTTGCACGAGGACTTTTAGCCGCCAACGGTTGTATTTTATAGTCCTCATGGCTGTTGTGAGAAATCCAAAGGCGAGATAATCGTTTGCAGAGGAATAACTGAAGACGTTGACTACTTTCATTGGAGGTTTGCCAGTTGGTTTTCTGGTCAAGACGCTCTGACTCACATCAAACCACCTGGTCAGATTTCAAAAGCCCGCTAAATGATTTAATCCGCTCGAGAGAGATAAATGAGCCTGAATGATTCAACTCTTGGTGTCCGTCAGTATAACCGCACTGTCTTTCATTCTTCGTTTGTCACTTTGCCGTTAATCGGAGCGGACGCCAAAGTTACAGGTGTGGTTGAAAAGATCACAAAACCTAAAAAGGTAAGAACATTACTATGACCGTGGGTTAACAGAAACGGCACTATAATGATGCTAATTTGATTGCGCGCGTGTGAACGTGTTGGCCAAAAACCATGGAGAACTTTAACCTAGTTACTATATCCTGCCGAAACTAAATAAACTCTTACCGTATATCCACGGATTTCGCTGGGGTAGAGGTCATGATAAGTCAATCTCACCGACGATCCCCTCCCTTCCAAGTTTTTACTGTGAACAAACGGACTAGTCGAGTTATAATGTGTTCTTTTAAACAATGAACGTTTCAAACTTCTCCGAAATGCGAACGATGTCTTCTGTCCAAAACATGTATCTATCACTCCAAGTGCATGTGCGAGGTATTTTGTTGTCCATAAATTGTTGTAATGGATAAAGAACTCAGTTTACTCTTTCCACTAATGCGTAACCTGTTCCCTCTGCATATAATCACGACTAATTCTCCTTTTTTTGCAATTTGTAATAGCTTCTGCTTTATCAACTTCTCCGAGGCCTTGCCTACTGCCATGATCGCCAAATTCTGCATCGAGATCTGAAACCGCAGAATCTCTTAGTTGCCGGAAGCGGTGACCTCAAGTTGGCCGACTTCGGACTGGCCAGGGCTAAGTCAGTGCCCAGCCAGACTTACAGTCATGAAGTCGTTACGCTCTGGTATCGTCCGCCCGACGTTCTGCTGGGGTCCACCAATTACACTGCTTCCTTAGACATGTGGCAAGTCATCCCAGATTCTCAGTTGATTTTTGCGGTCGGATTGACTAGAATTCGGCTCATAAGAGTACTGATAATTTAACTGCTTCTCCAGCGGAGCGTCCAGGTTTTATTTTCCAAAATAAATCTAATTTTATTTGTAGACAGACCGACATACTGGCTTTTTGTTGTTTACTCAGAAAAAAACATGTATTTTGGTTGACGTCTTCAGTTTCGGCGCGTTTGGATGCCAAATTCCGGCCGTATTTTGGACGAAATAATACTAAATGTAATTTCCCAACTCAAAATAATTTGGTAAATTGATTTGAAAGAAGCCTTGTATACGAAACGATAACGGATTTTCAATAACTAACCAGTGTGATGGCAGCTGAATGCTCTAACCTACCTTTGATTTATGACTGCATGTTGGGCGGTGGATTTCGTGTATTTGCGGCCGACCAAATATGACAAATACTATCCTTGATCCTAACCGAGACTGAACCCAATATTTTGGCAATGTCAGAACTGTTGTTTTGATAGTTTCACCAGTTTAGATTTGACATTTGAAAAAACGTACATATTAATTTATTGTAATATACCGCGACGAAATATAGGGATTTTTCGAGTATTATTTTCGTTGCTCTTTTATGCGTTTTCTCATGCTGTTGCCTATGAAAGGTTGTCCCTGTGAAAAGAGACCCATGTTGTCAACACTGACGCCATGAAAACATTTGGGTTCCGATTGAAAGCATTTTTAAGAAGCCTTTAAAATGTGACTTTCTGCGAAGACTAGCAGTGTTAGCAATGCTTATTTCTCCACCGCAGGGCTCCTCCAGTTAAACTACATCACAACGAGACACCTACACATAAGATGCACATGCAATAAGCTCTCCCTTTCCCGTCAATTCACCTCAGCGAGGTGTTGGGAACCTTGTTTACTGCGTCTAGTTACAGCTCGCTGGCTTTTTGGAGGCGCTTGAATTTGCTGCATTTTGCGGCTGTTTTATGGATACTTTTTTTTAAAAATATGTGTTTCGAATGTCCGCGGTTTAGCTTAATGGTAAAAACGTTACAGATAACGCCCTGCGCTTTCTGAAGGAGAATGCGACCATCTTTGCGGTTGTTGAATGCCTCGTCGAAAAGATTCAAAATAGGCTATGTTCGGGAATATATTTATTTCTGGCGGTCGAAGAAAGGCTTAAATGTCCAGAGGGGTTTTTCTCTTAACGAAATACATCCGTCCAAAAGTGTTTGGTGTTTTCAAACGTCCTTGAAGACAACAATATTAACCGTCTTCACTATGTTAAGGTTGTTTTACTATTTTCTAGACATAAGTGTTACTAATTTTTCCATGGAAAAAGGTCGATTTGTTATTGCGTAGGCAAATATCTTTTCGTTTACTATTCCACATCTCCATGTCATCCGAAGTCATGATTTTCCTGATATATCAACGTTTTCGGTCATTTCTCAACGTCTACATTTTGGAATAATGTCTGACCACACGTGTTTCATAGGTGTCATATTTGTCTGTTAGGATGTTTACTTTCTGATATCTAAGCTAAGGGGATTCATTTTAGTTCCGAAGACAACTCTTAAAATGTGTATGATAATCAAATACCTTAGTTTTCAGGTCCTTGCTAAAATCCTTTTCTACAAATCCACTAACTTTGGTCTTTCCAGTTCCTCTGCCGAATGTAGAATGCATGCATAAATCAGTTTAGCCGGTATCACCACTCACAGAAGAGTGAAAATTATTCTCACATAGGCTCACTTTCATGTCCTGATTAAAGTAACGTGTAGGATTCCCAGCGAAACTGGCGCCTGTTATAAAATAAACTACTTTCTGTCGCGAAGCATATTGAACGACACAGCAAAAGCCGTGTCATATTCTACGTGAACTGTCGTCCTTTGTCAGAGGGGCGAAAATCGGGGTGGCAAAACTTCGTCCGCTCTCTGTGGGAACGCAACTCGCCGATGGCGACGGCATCCATTATGTGCGCTGAGACGAGGGCTTAAGGTGCGCGATTGTGTCTGTGGGGATGGTCGTGCTCACGTTTGAACGAACTATCCTCGTTCAACTGCGGCCATCCCATTATTGGTCTTTTTAGTATCATATGGTTTTGAGTAAGTTCTTAGAACTAGTGTTGGCTCCTCAATTTCCACAGTCTGCGCATAGTTACCAGTGGCCGGTGGCCACCGATTATCTCTTAGACATCTTAACTTCGTACACAGTTCCTTGTTATCCGCCTTTCTGAGAAAATATGCTAGTTACCTGATAGCAACTCCGAGGCTTAAAATAACTGTCAGTGGTACTAAATTAGGCAGTTTTATAGTCCTAATACCCGAAGGAAGGTGAGTTCGGACAATAGTTTTTCATTTTTGTGGGCTTTCGAATGCCGGGCTGATTTTAATATGCTTTTTGCACTTAACCTCTTTTGAACTCTCTCGTTTCTTGCTTTTGTTTGGACGGAAGATTAACACTCCTTCCCGCTTCACTGGTTATGAAATCGGTTAGCGATTTTGAAGTAAGGTTTTCTGGAAAAAAATTGATTAGTGATCTGTACAATATATCAAGTGGACTAATTTTCTTCTAAATTTTCTGTGTAGTTTAGAGTATGTTGTCTGACCAGTGTTTAGTTTGAGGACTGTGATTATAAACAGAGAAGCTAAAGGCCGTTCGCTCAAGTAAATAACTAACGTAATTCAAATTTTAAAAAAACATTTTTACATTAATCCTGAAAGATACGTTCAACCAGTGGACTGGCCTACTGCGTATTCGTAAATCAACTGCCAGAGGCTTAGATAATCACATAGCTCATTCAGCCTTCATCGGAACCTGCTGGCAATATAACAACTAAATAATCGAGCTATATAACCTATTCTAAACAAGAAAAAGTCTCGAAAAACGATATGAGGAAAGCTGAATACATTTACACAGGGCGACAACATCCTGTATTTGGCAGGAAGCCGCAAGAATTCCGCCAAACTGCTAGCCCTGTTTGGGAATTTGTGGAATTATTTCCAATATAAAGGATTCGTTTTCGAGGTCCTGCTGCTCATAGAAGAATAGCGCAAAAGGTGCACCACAATATCAAGTCGACAAATTTTTGCCCCAAATTACGGATCAACTGCACAGATACGTTTTGCAAACTTTTTCAAATCCTAGAGTTATTGACTTCGTTAAAGCTAGCTCATTGTGTGACCACATTTAAGTTTTTAAAGGGGCCTTATTTCATCTACCTTCTGTAGTCAAAGTTATGCCAAATATTCCTTTATGTTGGGATATACAAATAACTCCACTTTTACGGTTTGACTTATATTTAGCCGATGATGAATAACGTAAAATCAAATCAACACATTATAGTAACGAGTTAGGCGTCAACGTCGTATGCACGTTTCTCGCATTTTTCCCATTCGTAGGGTATTTGCTTTAAGAAAGCTTGCTTATTGGAGGGCCGTGGTTTGTTTCTAAATAAATCTTATTGCACTTGCCCTATTGTGCGAAATTTATTTCAAATATCTAATCGGGTTGGGTATAAAATAATCCTAGCTGCACGGTTAGATTTTGATTAAATCGACGAGCAGGGACATGATGTTTTTCATCTTAATTGGGCGGTGATTTAAATTACACCATAAAATATGCGTTGAAGCGGTGACGGCCCCTAAATTTTTTAACTAATAAAGCTCCCTTAGATGTTTTGACAATTGCTCCCGATTAGCAAAGAGGCTTCTTTGAATATATCCGATTCGAGTAGGGCATAAAATTTTGCATTGTATTTGTCCGAAAATCTCGGATCGAAATAATTTAGTCTTAGTTTAAGTACCGTGAATATTACTTCAGTTTAAAATTTTCAACTGATTAGTAAATTCATATTAGCTCTGACACGAAACCATAAAACCGAAGAAGTGGTGATTGCGTGGAGTTTGTCTCCAAAGTGCATATTTCAGAGTTAACTTTTAAACACATCCCACAGTCGACTTTGTTTGCTTCTTGTGGTTCTCTTATGCATGGGTGGAGTCTGTTCTTTTTCTCATTTCGCGTCTTTTTTCGTCCTCAGGGGCGTTGGTTGTATCTTCTTGGAAATGTTGACCGGCGTCGCTACCTTCCCCGGTTCCAAGGACGCTGTTGACCAATTGGACAAAATATTCAAGGTAATGATAACTGGCTGATCTGACAAGCAAGTTATCTGCGTTTTTGAAAGGTTTCTGGCGACTTAGTAGTCCAGGAATTTTGTGGAGAGATTTGTGCACTATCGGTCGGCTTATTATAGTGGATTCTTCTTGCTCACACACAGTTACAGCAGTTAAGTAAAATAGAATTCTTTATAAAGAACCGTCTCCTCTTGTCGATAGTGTCTGCTTTACTGTCAGTCGCTTGCAGATTAAGGGTAACGTCGTAGTGCCTGTCGCACTCAAGACAGCCGAAAGGAGCGTTATCAAGTGACTGCAAACACACTACAGCTATTATTAATGTGCCTCAAGGGAATTCCAAAGCGGACAACAGACATGAGACGACTCAGGTGTGAGGAACAGGTAGAAACGGTGTAGTTATCCGCGCTAAGTCCAGCTTGGATAGGCAATTGGGACGTTTTTTACCCTTCAAACCTTGCTCTGCGCGCCGTCACAGTACTATTACTAACAATTGGCAAACTTCAAGATGCGAAGCGAGAATAGGTCCGCGAGTGACGATGAGCGAACGGTGCACTAAGGACGGTACCATATGCGGTCAACAACAGAACCGCATATAATTTAACTGGATTCATAAAAATCCTACTCGATATCTTCGAGTGTTCATGCAAATATCGTTTACAAATTTCTGTTGGTTGTTGTAATTTGGATCGTAATGACGAACCCTCTATTGATTTTCTGTTAGATTACGATATTACACAGTGCCTATTAAATATTTCTGCTAAGTTCTGTGAGCTTACTGAAAGGTAGACTGTAGTTTTCCAATCCTTATGAACGCCGGCAAATCTAAACAGAAGAATGTGTTTAACCTCGGCGCCAAACTCACCAAAAGTCGCCATGTTCGCATCAGCGTAAAATATTTTGTGGCTCAGACGAACTAAAATACCTGCGTTAGACGACTACAAATAAATTGACGGTGCGTACAAATTATGCTTTATGCGAGGAATGTATAGCTATATGATTAAGCGTGGGTACTTTATAATACTACGGCATACATGCTGGCCTCAGCGTGAATAATGTTTTTACGATAGCTTTTTTTTGGTCGCACAGCGAATTAAAGGACGTCCTGGGAAAACGACTTAATAGTGTTGATGGAGTGCTGTAATGCCGAGGAGACTGTGGTGATCGCTTCTTGCATTTAAGTCGTCATCGGCGAGGAATGTTGCAACAGCGCTCCTGTAACTTTACTACATTACTGAAACTTTCTTCAGAATCCTGGAATTTATATGGGATTTCAGCTAGTCTTAGGTGGTCGATAAGTCCCCTCTATGTTTTTATCAAATTTTATGCCCCGACTTATAAAAAGCTCTTCCTTGGAATTCCAATAGTGGAATTTTATGAAGAAGCAACGCGCAGCAGTATTTGACTAAAAATAACTAAGTGCGAAATTTTTACAAAAAGCCTTCACACCTTTTAAATGAGTGCTGCCACCCGTGGGTCAATCCGTATAGGGGGGTCGGACTTCGCCGGACTGGCTAACTAACGTTATGTAACCTTCTGGTGAAAAATGCGGCTAGACCGTTGCCTGAAACTTCCTATATGGATAATAAGATAAGGCTGCAGGGAGTTGTACGAAGCACCCGCTAGAAGATACACTTTTGATTTGATTGACATTCCATTTTGACACCATTTCGGGATTTCGGTCTGCTGATAAATACGTAGTGAATGACCTTGGCACTGTCCTTCTGAATTCTGCCTTCCTTTGTAAGGCTTATCGAGATTTTGACCTGAACATCAGGCTTAAATTGGCAGGTTGAGTTTGTTAGCTTATTCGACATATTTAGAACATAAGTTTGGCGAAAATGCCCATTGTTTCCCCTTTTTTGATCTGTAAGAATTATGTATTAGCTGATTGTACTCATGGACTGTCCTCACTCAGTCTAAGCAAATTCAACACAAGCTCGAAATTTTGTCCTTCAATTTAGGTCGTTTGGTTTTTGATTTTGTATGCGGAACGAACTGTTACGAAGAAGGGGGGCGAAAGTCCGATTGATTGAGCACCAGAACAGTTTGTTTTTGTTTTGAGCTTTCCGCCTCGTCAGAACGAGCGGCAGTTATAGGCAGTGCAAGTCATCATCGATCGATGGCACAAGACTGGAGATGACTGCTCAAAACTCTGTACACCGGCGCCCGATCGATAAATAGCTGGACGGAGTTCTTGTCTGAGGCCCAGGCTTCAATCAATTCTTTGCCTGTTTTGTTTCCGGCATGGGCGATTATCTTGGTGGCTGCGAATCTAAACTCATGACCTATTTCGTAGATGCAGGCAGCCACCTGCGATACTTTGTCGTCTCCCTGCGCGCGATACCTGCATACGTACAGTCCGACCTGTATAGTTACAAGGGCAGTTTTGGCAAAGGATGCGACAAACTACCCCAGATTGCTTCTCAGAGATTAAGTGGTCTCTGATGTTTATGACCTTGCTGCATACTGTGGTTTTAGGCTGGTGTGGCATTCCAACCATGGCAGAAAATGCCGTATTTCTGTTTGGGTCCTCTGTCGTCATCCTGCTCCTTCGTCAATACTACACACAAATGAATATCAGAATGAACTACTGAGCATAGGCGTTTGGTTCAGATCTACTCATCCATTATTCGAATGCGCGTAAGCGTACTCCCCGCAGTGTGGTACTTCTCCATTTTTCTACGTTCTGAGGTTTCGGTTTGAGATTTGCTCGTCAGCATTTGAAATCTCAGACTCAACAAATCTAACCGTTTGGCGCCTGAAAAGAAAAATTATGCTGCAAGCGCCTGTCCACAGTATGCAGGAGGAGACCTGTCGTTCATGATACCACAAAGCTTTCGAATCTGCCAATGTTGCTGTGCTTTTGTCGAAATTGCACTCGTTAGCGTAAAATTTCCTAAGAAGTCATCAGTAGGAAGAAGTCAATGGAATTTCTGATCATCGAAAATTATATTCATCGGATATTTTGGTATACAAAGCCTACATTTTACCTACTTAATGGCGTTCCTATTTCACCAGTTTGGCAGCTCACATTGGCGGAAGAAGGCTCCGACGACATCATGGCCCATCCACTTTCGCCAGGCAGCCTTCCTCTGTTATCCGGCGATAGGCGAAAGCTCATTTGAGGGATAGCACCAACTGTTGCCCTCCAACGGCCTTCCTTATTATCGCGTTTCGGGGACCATGTCGCCTTTTTGCTAGCCATAAAATACTGCAAAATCTAATCAGCATCTCAGGCAAGAAGCCCAAAGCATATGCGTGATTGTTTGCGTCTGTTAAAATATTGCTGCCATGAGAGGTGGATTTTTACATGCGTGGACTATCAGAAAAAAACACTCAACATTGAGGAAAAATATATTTAAAATATGCACTACTGCTTTATTTTAAGTGCCTGAAAATGACGACTGCAGTAGATTAGTTCGGTTAAAGATCTACACCCAGTAATTAGTCAGTAACTATAATGTGTAAGTACTGTTTCAACCCATGGGCGGTCACTAAAATGCGGTCTGAAGCCTGCTATTATATATTGCCAATACGTAATGCATATGTTACGCATCGTCGGTTTCAATTTCGCATGATGTCGGTAACTTGGCTGCATCTTTCTTGGGAGAAATGACTTCTTTACGACAGTGTTTTTTTCCTTTATCTGCGTACGAAGATAGAGAGTACTCAGGAAGCGGGAACTCAAAGCCAAAAGAAACTCCCGTTTTTCATACTTGTGTATGTACGTTTAGATGATTTTAAAAAACGTCTCTCACCTGCTTTGAACTTGTGCTAACGTTCCCACTTTTCCATGTAGATTCGTCTGATCTTCTCATTACAACATTAAAAACGTGGTCTCTTCATTATAAGAGGAAAGCGATTGCTAATGTCCACCGTGATAGAACACTCTAGGGAGATTTGAAAATACAGGAAGGCGTAACGACTCACTGTGATATAAACGCTCAACCGTAATACGAAGACGACTTAGTGTCTCACTCTCCCAACAATATAATTACTGAGCGGACTTCATACTGATTATCCATGTCTTTTGAATGTTCTACTGCGTAAGTCTGCCCGGGTGATTTTGACAAATACGCTCTTCCAGGGGAATTTGATTGGAAATTGATTCGCTGTGTTTTATATTTTCGTCATTCAGTTTAATCTAAAGAACTCTTTTAATTTATTGTCTTTCAGAAATGCATTTAGTAAATCCTGTAGAGCAATTGCTTCGTTGAAATTTCCTGCAAATACCATGGTGGATTAGGGTGAATAAGTTAAATTTGCTTATTTTTAAGCCGAGCATCTGCTGAAAATTTCAAACGATCATCTTCTGTCATGTTGAACGTTTCGTACTATTACCGTAAACTAGGCCCAGTTTTGATGTTGCAGCACTTTATTTCTGTCCCGCCATGATAAAACATGACTGCGCCTTTCGGTCGCTTCACATATATGGCGCGTAGGAGAACACATTCAAAAAAAGTAATTTTGTAAAAATACTACTCGGCTAACCGGCGTTTTCTCGCGCATTCAAGCCTAAAATCATTGCGTTTCATCTGATGATCTGCCGACAAAATTCCGTAACTTCCTGCAACAAGTGCAAACCTAAGAACACATTGCCTGAAAGCAGGCGCGCTTTCGATATCTCCATAAAAAGTGCACTCATAACGACTGCTCCTTTCGTCGTTTAAAAAGATGTGCCTTTTTGGCGCATTTATCTTTATTCTACTAGCCGTGAAATTTGTCTCTTCAAAAGACTTCTCCTAATGGCACATTATTTCAGCAGTAAGGACCGTGCAGGGCTGGATTCTTGCCCAATAAATTTAATTTTCAAACACACATGTCCTGATTTTTGTTCTCATGTCTGCATCTGGTAGCAGTTATTTTCAAAAATAAGTCACCTCTCTTGCGGCATACAAGTCAGCATCCGGCCCCTCGCTTACTACGTTGCGTTATGGCCAACCGGACGTTGTTGTGTACTTTTGACTAAAATCAGAAGGCAGTTGCCTCTTCTGAGGGTTTTTTTACATGGTGGGCTAATCTTTAGGTGAACGGTACTTTTGTCGGTCAGCCGTCGGCAGACAAACGGGAGCAGATGTGCGCCCTTACCGGGGACAGATTTGCACCTTCTTCAAGTAGTCAGTGTTCGACTTAACTTATGCAAGAAAGGGACCTGGAAGACTTCGAGCATCCTCGCGGGCCTAAAACCATCCTCCCAGTTATCGGGTTTCAGGGAGAACTGCGCTTGAGAAATGAGAACAAATAAGTCCTCTTAAGCCAGTGTTAAATTACCTCAGTCAAGAAGGCAATTTGATTCTTCCTGAGAAACACAGTCTGGTCCTGCATCGAGTCTAACTCCGTGTTTAATGCGCTAAGGGCAAAATTTTCTTCCGAACCAAATCCAAGCAAAAGCAATTAAAATTTTGCCTGTCAGGTTGATCTCAACGTGTGATCAGCTCCGGGTTTTTCATCGGTCAGGAGCGGGTGGTCCCGCTATGGCCATCGAGCACATTTAAATAAATAAGCTACTGGGAATAGGCGGTACTAATTGCCATGCAAGCCAGTTCACTGAAAAGGGGTCCAATCTCGCCACACTCAGTGCGGAAAGTTCGTCGGAGATATGCCAACAAATAAATGGCAACTAGGATAGTTTACCCTGGCTCCTTTACTGCCGATAGTAATGCAAAACGCAAGATGGGACAACTCGAGATCTGAGTCTGAGCTTAATTAGTCACAAGGTTTAGCGCCTTTTCTGAAACTCTTCTTAATCTTCTTGAAACGCTAAAGAGTCATGCAGGTACTGTGCAGACAGTTTCCCTCAGCTATTAGCTCCGCACCACTAGCTAACCTTAAAATTACATGATTCGTTCCGTATATCTAGAATCAATCGCAAACCAGATTTACGATTGTAAAATCTAGGTTTATGGTAGAGAAAATGAAACGATTATTCAGGGGAAATCTGGTGCCATTTTATCGGAGTGAGTGATCGATACCACAAAATATTAGCCGAAATTCTTAAATGCCTTTTAAATTAGGAATTATTACTAACGCGGTGTTGGAATATTGATTAATATGTAGCATAATCCCTTGACGTTTCCGATGCGCCAGGATGTTGTATTTTGAATGCGCTTCTCTTAATTTACTTAGAGAAACCGTTCTCATTAAAAATTACTGCTTAAATAGCATGCGCTTTCTATATCGATTTCCAACGTCCTTGTAAATTCAAATATATTTTGGTAACAACATAGAGGAAAAAGTTCTTTCTTGTATTAGTTGGGTAGCAAATCACGTTCCAATCAAAGTTTATACTCGAAGAAAAGGTATTTCTCGGTTCTAAAACGTTTGTAGTCATAGGATTTTTAAGACCCTGCAATGTTTACTCGAATAGCATCGCATCTGTTTGTTTAATAATACTTCTCGTTAAGAAGACGAAAATGTGATCACTGAAACAAGTAGTTTATTGGCCAACACATTTTTTGTTCCAACGAAAGCATCTTCGTCTTCTGAACTGCTACATGGAACTCGGCTGTTAGCTTCTATTAACTTCTGGTTATACATATACAACCTAGTTCATATTCTATGCAGTATTTTAGGAGCCGCATACGACATTCTCTTTATGGCAAAAGGGAACACATGTTTTCCTCAAACTGAAAGTGTACGACTTGTAAAGCAAAAATGCAACGGCTAATCGATTTCAAAAAAATTCGGGAATTTAAAAAACTTAAACGAAAGTAAACAATTTCTTCAAGTATAAACTTTGAAGAGGGCATCATTTTTTACCAGCGGTGTACAAGGAAAACTTTTTTAATGGAATTTTTCTATCGAGTAAATTTGATTTTACAAGGGCACCGAAAATCGAAATAGTAGGTGGTTGCTACTTAGGTAGTTATTTATACTGAGCGGTTATTGCGAGCGACCGAAAAGAAGTGCATCCAATAGCCAGCAGCCTGGCATATCTGGGGTATCACGGGGTTACCTGGCGAGATAGTCAGTCCTACTGCCCCACTTAAACAATACTTTATAACCATAAACGCATTTCAGCAATTCGGTTAACATTTTATTACCCACGTTACTGACGGCGCATACTGGGAATCTGATATTTGTATAGGAAATCTGTTGTTGTCCAATACAAGCGGACTCTCGTCAACGCATCCGCACTTAAATCTTGGTACAGCACTCCTCAGAAAAGCCACTCTCTGCCTCCTCCTAGGCGTCTGCCGACTCCTGGGTCCGTAGACTAAATGCCTACAGGTCTGTCCACTTAGAAGTGTCAGCAAAACATTTTGGCAGGAATCCTTCAGGGTCGACAAGATGCAGTCTGTGACAGCTTACGTTGAGCAGAGCTATGTACTGAATTGGTCTTATTTTGACTGTCCATGGTTATTCCACATCTTGCGTGCCCATAAATCTGGGTTGCGTACTGCGGCAACCTATTCAAGACGCTGAATATATCTCCCGTTGCCGGTATCTGAGAGAAGTTTACTTTGGGTTGGATGGGCAACCAAAGCTTGTAAGACGGGGTGGGGGGAGAAAACGCCATATCAGTCAGTGGGCCTCATCACATATGATTTCGATTATTGTGAGACTAAAGTGCGGCTCACGACTGGTTGGAGGCAAGCGGGTATACCTGTCGTTTCTGCCACAATCGACTTCACCACAGAGATTGTTACATAACCGAACGGTAGATTCCCCAACAGGTAAGTCAGAACGTAGATACGGGACACGTTAGGAAGTGCCCGACAACTGTTAAATGTGATTTGCGGTGGCATTTCTCCATTCGTCCCACGGTCGACATCCGGTCGCCCAGCGAAGCTGATAGGTGATTGGCTAAGGCATACCCAGCATGTACCACCTTGACGATATCAGAATTGGTGGCGGTCGTTCCTCGCCTTCTTTATCCGTCAGGGTTGGGGTAGTTGCAGAGGCATCCAGCTCGCGCGAAACGTGGTCGAGGCATGGAGGAACGTTTAGGGCAGAAAACAATGGCCTACACGATCATATTTTTGTTCTGGGGCGCATCGTATGGGTCGAGGTTGACAATGCATCAATGAATGGGTAAAGGTTCTGTATGACCAGTGATGGTTTTGAACGTCCGTGGGGACGCATCAGTAGTGCTTTGGGCACAAGCGACTTTGTGTCCTCCAACATCCAGTCATGGTTACTGACGGGATAACTGGGTCCTCCTCTCAGGTCTCTCCTTCGTAATGTGACCTTTATGGTGCTTCCTGCTCCGTTAGGATCCGACCAACCCTCTGTTTTTTGCTAAAGCATTGGTCAATCGTGCGCAGTCCAAGCATGTGTGACATGCGTGCATGGACCAGTTCAGCCAACGCATCCGTTATCGCCTATGGTCTTCTTGACTCTGTTATACCAAGTGGGTGGGAGAGGAAATAGTACGGTGGATTCAGCGTATGGCTACTGCCATTATAGACTAGTTCATACGCGATTCACCATCCCCTCCGGTCAACCATTCTCTGGGTCATGTTGGTGGACATCGTCGGTAACGAAGTTCGAACTCTCACATGTAGCAAAAAATTGTTTTAAACTGCATTCTTGATAACGAACTCGCCGTAGTAATTGAACTGTCGCTGACGTTATCTTAATTTTCTCATCTGTTTGAATTATAAACCGCCCGATTGTAGTACTTGTGAATTGCATAGCTTTGTAGTCTTTTGATTTCAAAATCTTGCTGCTTTTTGGGTGAGTTGTGACAAGCTTTTTAAGTTGAGTCTCATCTGTCCTACATCGTCCTTCCTTGGACAGCTTTCCACTCCAAAGCAAATGTCTAAAATTTTCTCTTACATTTGTTTGGACAAATTGTTCGTTTAGGCTAACTGATTAAGTTTTCATGCATGAATCTTCTAAAGGAAAATAAAGGGCAGGGACGTTTTCGGTTATGTCGCAAAATTCCAAAGAATATTTTGTCGATTACTCTTATCATTTAAAGATGGGCGACGGTAGGGTGTAGGGCCTGAACTAATTTGTGCTAGCCTGTGGACCGTGTTATACGTTGAGTGGTGGTAGGGGGGGTTTTACGGGTGGGGCGACACGCAGGGCTGAGAGCCGGTGCAGTGCAAAGGACACAGAAAATAGCTACATTTCTGCCGAAGGTCTTATCGCGCACTATCATTTAGAAAAGATATTCCGCGCGATAAGTTAAAAAGTAGACTATATGCAATGCTCAAAAGATAACGGACTTTAAAAAAAACCCCCTCGGGTAAGTTAACATTTAGTTTTCTAGTCTAGAAAATTCCAGCCAATGGGGACTGTGAATAATAGGCCATGTTCACAGTCACACTGTATTTTCGTGCACATGTTGGATTTGACAGCTACGTGGGGTCGTACATCCTACCGTTACCTAGAGATGTAAATGCAACCACTTTCTTCGCCGGTTAAGAAGGTCTTGTTGATTACATTTTTGAGAACGTTGATTTGTTAACTGGCAAAATGCAGAATTCTCCGATCTGGGAAATTTTGAGGAGGACGCTTTGGTTGTTCCTTTTGTAAAAATGAATTTTTTTATCCTTTTGAGACTGTAAGCCGCTGGTTCTTTCACAGGTCAGTCAAGTAACATGAGGGTGACAGGGAGGCATGAGGACGGGTCCAGTACTTTTCCAGTAGTATTAGTGTTTAGGTTGGATAGTTTGTGTTGATTTGGTTCTTAGCTGGTACGTTATGCCCGAAATAAATCACGGCCTCAACAAAATACTTCGTCTTTTCTTGAGCTAATTTATCAGGCAGAGTCTCAGGGTTTGAGAAGTCAACCACGCGTCCCGTGTTACGTACAGGTGGGGTCGCCTGGCGTAATCTCTAAATCCTCCCTGATTATTTTTGGATTCTTCCGCGAACTTTGATTTTCTGACGTTGACGGAGTGTAGGATTTTGCTGATATGGCCCGATTGAAGGAGGAAATTTCTGGCGGTTTAAGTGAGATTGATAATAAACTGCATGAAAACATAATCCTTTAAATCAGCCTTTTGGCGGTCATCTCGTTTGTGGTTGACTTTTCCGGATCCTCCGTAAGACGTGAGCGAATCACTCTAAGAAGGATTGAGACCGGAGCGACCCACTGTCGAACTCTATACGACTGGCCAACATGCTGCATCATTCGAGGCGTTGCTTTGTGGTGTGAGTATTTTATTCGAATCAGCTGCATTTCTGCAGATCTTCCCTTCACCTTGGTGTCCCTAAGGTCCGGTTGTCTGGTACCTGCTGCGGTAATGGGCTCTATGTTTGATAAGTGAAATCTACGACCTCTGCGTTCACTGATATTTACTCCTCGAACATGGGCTTGCATGACTTACGAGAGTCGTAGTGTACTGTTCTTGCGGTAGGTAGAATATTCCTCTGGGCAATGTACGAAAAACAAAGATGGCCTCAGATCTTATTGGTTATAATTACCGTAAAATTATTCGACGCCTATGGATTAAACACGATCCTGAAACATTCGTCATACGAGGCCACATATAGATCTGTCTAACGGTTTGCTGCGGTAAATTTAAACCAAAAGCGCACGTTTCAACCAGCAAAAAGAGCACACGAGTACTTTCCGACTTGCAAAAATGTAGTAGACTTTCCGCGAACTCCTGTTAGCCAAATTATTCACAGAAACTTACTCTCTGTTTTCCAAAGTGTCTCTCTTATTTACGCACGCCATATTTCGAAGGGTATGTTAGACATGTACAACAGTCATTAATTCAGGGTACGGGAGCTGTCAAAACACGTTGATAGCGTAGAGTGCCTCAAAGATCCTTTTGGCCCATAAAATCGTCTCCTGCCTTGTGGACGGCATCTGCAATTTAAAAAAACAAAAAGCTATTGCCGGGCAAACGGTTTGCAGATTTGTTGACCAGTTATGTCGCTACAAATGCATGACGACTAGACAACAGAAAAAAACATCGTGTTTTGTCCAAACGATCGTAAATGCTGCCTAAACCATCCGCGTTGCCTCGGTAGAAAGCACATTGATTGAGAGCCCAGGACTGTGCCATCCCTGGCGAGGTATACTGCACGTCAACCATCAAGAAAGATAATACGGCAGGGAAGGCATCAGAACTGAAGTCATTTTAGGCCACGAACACAGTACGGCCATGGTAGAAAGTCCTCAGAAAAAAAATGAGGCCTGGGACTGGAGGAGGCTGGAGCCTCCTATACATGCACTTTAAATCCCCACTTTTATCCCAGTTGCTTTCTTAAATTTCAGTGTAAACAGCAACCAAAAATTCAGACACGCATTCTGCTTATTTTCTGTGGTTTCGCGCCTCAACTGCGTGAGGTCTGGCTCATCAATTGGTCACTGTGTGGTTTCTATTGCATACGCAGGTTATGCACTTTTAAAGTCTGACTTTCCACTGAAGTTAATACGGGAACTTGAGGAGTGCCGTGTGGAACTCCGCATGAAAAGTTTTGCTTAAAGTTATCAAGTACATCTGAATTACCGTATGCGCTTACAAATCAGATAGTTGGACTTAACTTCAGTTTCTATCATTACGTTATGGCTAAAACATGACCTTAGATGAGTGTTTTTATTTGGTAGTTCACAGACGGCTGACCTGCTAACACATTATGGTCGTATAAATGCGGATGAAACTTAATACCTTTTTTAGAATTTTGCGCTACCACATTGTCGGAATCTACATGGGCACCTCTATTTGAGCATTCGAGTTAATTCTATGTTCCGTGGGCGTTGAAACATCCGGTCTTTATGCATTTGTAAAATATTTGCAGAGCCTGGGACATTTTCGAATTTGCAAAGGATAGGGAAAACCCCTCCTTCAGTAGACACCCTTGCTTTTAGGACCACTGTCCATTTCAGTCTCTAAATTCCGTTTTTTGTTAAAATTCTATTTACTTGTTGACCTTGCTAAAAGGAGGGAAGAGGCGGATTTCAGGAAGTAGCCCTGAAGAAGCGAACGCAATCGCTGGAACAAGAGATTTATTCGCCTGGCGTTTCGGATTCCCACTGGGATCCATCATCAAAGACAAATTTAGATAAGGGTAGTGGATTGCCAGGTGCTATAGTATTGATAGGATGTAGTTACAAAAATGCCTATTACGATTGGCAATCCCGCATGCATCACAGTCGGACTGCCTAGGTGTTTCAGTGTGATTTTGCCATGCAATGGCAATGCTCCTGTCCAAATTATCGACTTTCACGCCCATTGCACTCAGCTGAGTTGATAACTTATGGGATTTCATCATCCGCGTGGGCTCTTGGGCAATTTGGCTAACCAACATTGACACCAGGAACAGTGGTTAAACGTACGCTCTCCGTGTGCCTAATTACTTTGCTTAGGCAAATTCTCAGCGTCGAATTTGGAGAGGGGAGGTCGTTACGTTTGTTGGTTGACTGAGAACCGGAAAACCCTGTGTCCAACAGTTCGCGGCTCACGCGGTTGTTGCCTCTAACAAGAATTTCGGCTTTGCCGACAACTGCACCAGCTCCGATAGGCGTGTGAGCCGATATTTTTGGCAGGCAGGCAGGCGCATAGCAACCACATAGCAAGTGCATCCTGCAACACCTGGCCAATCGCACTGTGATGCATTCGGGAACTGCCAATTTTGATAGGTATGTAGTGGCCTAACAACTACGGCCTATAAATGCCGCAACGCCTTGGCAGATCACTATCCGTTTCCGACTTTTTCCCTGGTGATGGATTCGAGTGAGACTCCGAGACGTCAGGCTAATAAATCTCTTGTCGGATTTGTCCATTTTCTGGCTGCACTCAGAATACAATGTTGTTCAATTGGTCTGGGTTAATGAATTTGAATCCTCTCATCACAGTACCTGATGGGTTCTCCCGGAAGATGTAGAGAAAATTTAACCAATTAAAATCACAGGTCGTAATGGCAGCAGCTGGCCAGACCAGTTGGAGTGATTAACTTTAGTTCAAGTAAGAATTAACTGTCGCTTCAGGTGTCTTTCCTCGAAGGAGATCTCTCATTCTGTGCACGAAGTCATGTTTTCTGTCTTTCTTAATGCTCTACTGAACGATTTCGTCAATAAATCCCGTTCATAGTGACTAGACAATTGAGTACTGGGTATCGTTTCGACATTTACCATCACCCACTCATCAAAAGCGCACCCTTAACCGTCCGGTTAGGGATCTAAAGCTGGAAATGTAACATATGCGCCAGATTCGGTATGCTGTGACGTGGCGGGAAAATCGTCCTGAACTCGAGCGCATCTCAGCACTTTCATTCAATCCCTTAATTATCTCAACTCTCTGACGTTCATGTCCGTTAGAGTTGGATTTAACGTGCACGCTGACCTTGGAAAAAAGCCTTCACTCTTGCTACCGTACGATTTAACTGTTTTTTTAAGTACATGGGGACGCCGACAGAGGGCACTTGGCCCGGAGTTTCCAAACTGCCAAAGTACAAGTTGCTCCTGGGTGAAGACCGAAACCATGTGAAGGCGTCGCAGAATGGTGATGCAGACCAGAAGGAGAATGCTGGTTCCGGTCGTCGTCGTCGTCGCCTGTGGCACGTAGGGAAACCGCTTCAACGACTGGCACCTCGGCTGATGCACATTGAACACGCAGCCACCCTGGCGACGGAACTGCTGCAACTGGCACCAGAGAAGCGTATCAGTGCCCGGGCTGCTATGCGCCATCCCTACTTCACGAACAGCCTGCCAACTGCTCAACTGGCCTGCCTACCGGACAGTAAGCTCCTCAATGTGTCCATTTGAGTCTACCGGATCCTGTAAAAGTATTACTTAACTGCTGTTTTAATAATGATTATCTTGCAGCATAGTCCCAAGGTACAGTAATTGGGCTAACTCATGAACTCTCAACAGAAATTCCAAAATGCTCAGGTGTAAAGTCGAAACTTGAATTTGAGAGAAATTTTTGAAAATTAGTCGGGAAGAACCATGATTGATTAGGTATTTCATTGCACTGAGTGACTTACTATTTGAAAAATGGATAACAATCGGGAGATGGCACCCAAAAATATCCGTTACCGAGAAATAATACCTTTAACAGTGGACTCAAACGCCTTCAGGCTATATCAGCGCTTGCAGGCCTACTTTCACGCACTACTTGGACTTTCTCCGACGGCCTAACATGGGCTGGCCGAACGAACATCGCAGGAGGTTACATGGACGATAGTCGCTGTTACCTAACTTTCCCCATCTTTACACACGTACACCTGAATATACGGCATACGTTCGCATTATGACAGTTTATTACTAAACAAAATCACTTTTAAATAGGATAAGTCTGCACAACATGGGACAGGAGCAGTTCCCAGGCATCTGTCAAAGACATGGTATTGGGGCAAAACCAAAGACGATACTGCTATCGTCTATGTGAGCCCATACAGCTCGACCACATACCGGGCCTCCCTCGTGGAGTTTTTTTTCAGTCTACTCCAGTATGCTTCAATGGCATTGGTGTGTCGTCCGGTGGTAGGGTCCTTGAAGTTCTTTGAGTGGTTAACAGAGAAATGTAGATAACCTTCTGAGGGAAGACGATCATACGCCTTCCACTTGTCCGTTACCACTATACTGCCTTTGGCGACCCATTTTGTAATAACGGAACGGAGAGCGGGCCGATTTCGATCATTCACCTGTTCAAATAAGACTTTGCTGTTGGCTAGTATCGTACATACCGACCAGCCACCACCCATTAAACCCCTAGTCTAACCTGTCCCGTCAGACAGGCCGCTTTGGTCAGGCGGATTTTTTTGGGTGCCGTCTCCCGATTGTTACCGAAAAATGTATTCACAAGGTTTGGATTTGTCTGAAGTCCATGGCCTCTTTGCTGATCTTCCGAAACTTCTTCGGCATGTAAACACAAACAACCGCCAAGAGCTATGTTACCACCATAAACAAGATATTTTTGCTGTTTTGGAAATATGAGCACTCAGTTTAACATTTTGGTGAACATTTCGCATGAGATTTTCGAGGGGAAGGACGTTGATTTTGTACACCGTTCCCCCATTTTATTTCCTCTTCGGTTGAAAAGCCCCAGGGGACTTTGGGACGTTTGCACAGACCAGTTAAAAGCTGAAATTGAGCATAGCCACATTATTCATGTTCATGGTTAGCAATTTATTGAGTCTATTTTGACGATGTTTTGTGATGGTTGACTTCACGAATCTATGTTCGCATTATTTTACAAAGAAACATGGGCCAGCGGTTTCCTCACAGCGGTAGGATTTATTTATTCAGCAGGTAATATCCTGAACGTAGCGTGCTCAGCTAGTTACGGTCCAGCTGGCCGTTGATCACTTTTCCAGTCGTATGATTTGCGGCTGTTCCATTAAATGGACCTTGAATTAAATGGACTGACATTTGAGTGTCTCGCTTAATCCATCGGTTTTTTATGAAAATTATTCTGCTCAAAGCGGAGTATGGTGGATGACTTCCCAAGATTAGTTGTGCTCCCTTTTCTAAAACAGGATTCATTGGACGATAGAACCCATAAGGGTGCCCAAACTGTTTAAAAAAATCCGCACGTCATGTACTTTTATTGAATAAGATTCTGCCTCGTAGTATCTGCTTAAAACTTCAGACTGGTTGGTGGACGGGCATCCTATCGCCGGTGGCACAAAAAAATTGAGAGAAAAATATATACAGTGTGTGTACTCCTTCTCTATCATGGCAGCTTATCTATTTTATTGAGGAGGACATCCAATATGAACTGAGTTACCGTAGAAGCACCATAGTGAAAAGTAATAAGCCGATAATGTGAGGGAATAATCTTTGCAAAAGCACTAAGCTATGAATGTCCTCTCATTCCCACACTGGTATCGTGGGCGGGTTATCCAACGGCTTGGCTACGGTGCCGAAGGCACTTATTCCAGCGTGCCTCCGAGTTCAGTCCAGAAGTGTTGCAGGCACTGAAGTGGCTACCATTAATTATGTAAAACTAATACCTACGAAGAAAGGGGGTGATGAAAGGCCGACTTCTGATTCATAAGCAGCCGTTTGTCGATCATATCCTTGCCTGTTGGTCTGAATATTACAGCACTCAAACTGGTAGTCTTTCGTCAGTGAGCGTCAGTTGTAACGTTTTATCGCTGAGTCAGTTGCCGGCTGTATTGACAGCTATAACTGGAAATCCTGCACGTTCTGTCGCCTTTCCCATGTTCAGATGTATTCTGGAAAAACAGTGCTCCAATTTACCGAAAACACTCCTCACGGGCTCTCTCCTCAAGTCGCTAGATTGGCTCGTCCACGTATAATGCATGACAACCAGAGAAAATACCAGATATGAATTCTTAAGGTCCTGCAGACAGACTCGGGTTTACCTCCACCAACAACGTTAGACCCTCTGAAGAAATGTCGTGCCCTCTTTAATAGAAAATCTTAACCGTCTAACCCTTTCTAAAATGGAGGAATGGGAATACCCACCCCCGCAAGTTCGCTACCAATAATTGAAAATGTTAGTCATCGTTGGAAGGTCATTTACCGATTTATTTGCTATTTGTAAAATGCCCAATCCCTGCGCCTTAGAGTTCAGCCAAGAGCACCACTTATAAGGTGCTGCTGGTAGGTATACGGTAGCCTTTTTAAAAGTAAATACGACAATCAACTTCCATTAGTTGACAAGAGGAGTTTAAGTAGGGCGACGGTCGTTGGACTCCTAGACGAGTCCGAAGGCTCAGAACAATAAACAGAACGTTCTGGTACCCGATCTCCTTCACTTTAGTAGGACGGTTTCTTTTCTAACAGTCAATCAAGTGAGGAAGATTTATTTATCAGTGAGTACTGTCATCACCATCGTCAGCGTTGCCGCTAATGAAAGCATTGTTTATTCCCCTCAATGCTGCATAAAGTTAAATGAGAGAGTAATCTCTTAGGCGGAGGCCAAGCAATTCGCACACCAACATGACATGCTCGGCCCCTGTGCATTGCTTTTATTTACCAAAATACCAATTTCTGCAGACTAGTCAACTGCTCCATCACCGATTGGTTACTGTCTGAAGCAGCTTACCGGACAGGCAAACATTACAGCTCTCCAGACCCGGGTATTTAATTCTCCTGAAAAATAGACTCCGGCTTTCACGCAAGACGCAGAGCGAGATGCCGACAGGCCATGTGTGAAACCACGCTATCAGCCTCATCCAATCTACTCGGACGGTTTTCACGGCCATTGACCGGTGCACATTGCTTTGAAGTGCAATACCCTGAAACCCGTGTCCAATGTGAGTGGGTGGTGGTGGCGGCCACGTATTTATGCTCTCCGAATTCCCCCACCCTGCCTTAGTTTGCCGTTTGTACATTTTGGGCGTTATCGGCTGTGGCCCGGGCTGCACATATGGCCAGGAAAATGTTGTTTTCTATGCGCATTGATGTTTCGTTAAACCCGCCGGGGCAGCTGCTTTAAATGTGTTTGCACCCGGACTCACCCTCTGATGGGGTGGTGAGCGTTTCAGCTATGGGCGTACGGAAACTCAGTGCTGCGTTTTGAATAGATGGAAGCACCTGAATGTTCTGAATTTCAAACGGATATTGCAATTGGCTCTACAATAGATTTACTTTCCCAAGCAAAACCGCAATGCTTAACGGAATCCTGTGAACGGTTCCTTGCAGAGTAGTTAATGCCACAAAAGTGCAAGGGACGTTAATGACCTGACTACCGATTAAATGTCAATCTAATTACCACAGAATCAGATTATGCTGCAATTAACGAGTTGGCCGGAGTAGGGGATGATGAGAGGAGGGGAAAATGTCTGCGAGGAACGAAAACGATCAGGAGCGTACATGGATTGGAAGTCTTTAGAGGGAGGGACCGTTACGTGAATTCTACTAATTTGGCGCGACTCACCCCATCTATCGCAGCTGATTGATGAGTGCCCCAGTTAGGTGACAAGCGGCGAAGACGCCAATGAATGACAGCGATCATTCTACTGACAAAACTAGGGTGGGAATCGAAAACAATTGAGGACGACTGCTGCACGAGTCCAGATCGATAGCAACAGCAGTCGGTCAGATTTCGACAAGCAATGATCTTTTAAAGCAACTTTGAATTCCTATATGCTGGTAAAACGTTAACAAGAGAAAGAAGCCCGCGCTTCAACGAACAAGCGAATATGTCTCGGCAGCTAATTGTGCTATAGAGTAGTTGAAAGACACCTGCGACTAAGAAGCTTGTAAGTGGCACTGAGAGTGCAGAGTACACCGATTAATCCATATGTCGTAAACTACAAAGAAACAGTTGTTTTCACAATTAGTTGAACTTAACCAAGTCTAGATTTACGTCTTTAGCTTTTTATTGAAAGGAGGCTGAATCAACTACTAACTACATTTCTGAAACATGAAACATGTCTGGAAAGTTCTGATCAACTAGAGCCGACTTATATGCAAAATTCCCATACAGTGCACTTTTTCTACGATTGCAATGGTCCTCATGAAATCAGGCAACTGACGAAAAAGGTGTAGTTTTCAGTCAAAATCGAAAAAACGTTATGATTACAGATAGGTTTTAGCATGGATGTGGCCCTCATACAGCCTTATTAGATTGCCAGCGTGCGTTTCACCAGTCTCCTGTATGCAAAAATTCTAGCGCGATTGATGTCAACTCCTTATTTCTTTGTTACACCGAATTCTGTTCAACAGAGCATGTACTCGGTGGAAGATGTCGAGCAGGAAATCACTCAGTAAGACTCCTGACTAGTCACGGGGAGTGACCATTCCTACGCTCTTATCGCAAATAATAAAATGGCTTTCAGGACTCACGGGGCGTGATTATCTACCAGCACGGATTCTCCAGGGTTTTTCTTTGTAAATGTAACGGCCCTAAAATTGAATCATGCAAAAGAACCGTCAACAGTACTACTAGTACTGAGAAGCTGTTTTTGCTAGATTTAAATGTAATTCGACTCTCCTAATTGTCCAAACCTCGGCAATCTCGGCACAATTGCTACCTGTGACAGTAATGGGGTGGCCTCGCATAGCGGACGCCTTGCACACCCGAGCTAGGAGGCGCTGACCGAGAGCTATGTCTTTTTGCCGTTGAATGAAGATATCCAACTAACGCACCGCAACGTATAAATTTAACTAATACTAATACAGCAAGCTAGCCGCTCAAGGACGTTTTCGTAAGCAATTAATCTGAAACCTATCAGGTGCCCGTTAGACTCGCTTGTAATCAGATGTTTTTGATAAAGCCGGAGCCTCATAGCGGAAAATTTAGGAGTGCTGATTGTGTTGTTGACGGTTTGAATCCTGATTAGGTCGCCGAATCTTCCCACGGTTGGGTCAGATAGATCAAAATATGTTAAACCACCTTTATGAGGATATTTTAAGTCGCAAACTCTATCTCGCTTAGGCCAATAAGCAACTTGAACCTGTCCTACTGCGAATGGCTGACCGGGAAAAGTTGAACCGGATTTACGAACATGTTAGCTATTTGTCGATAGACATTTCGTCCTATTTGACGAACAGACCTCATCATTTTCACGCATTTCAGTAGTATCATGCAGGTTCTCCACTCAGTCTGCTAATTATCACCTTACCCTTCATACATTTATGGGTGTGAATGAATGCTGGATTTTTCGGATTTCACTTCTCCGGCATGAAATTTACTGATGAAACTGTTTTAAAAACACCGACAAACATATTAGACGAATTGGTTAGGTGGAAATCTCGCGCGGTACCTCATGTAACCTCCGGTTTAAGCTAAACCAACAAGGTTGATTGCGTCGCTAGCGATGGACAGCTGTTGTTTTTTCTTTAAACCTGTGCCATTTGTTGGGCGGTCTGTCTTGGTGTCTCGGCTTAGGGTAGATGGCCTTCAATTTTTCCCCCTGGGAATATTTTCGATCACGAAACCAGTCAGATAGAATACTGGCGAGTCTACAGTTTGCCGAAATCACTTCATAACTCGTTTCTGTCCTCGGGCCATGTCTGCCAAAAGTCTTTCTTACGCCGACGTCCCATCGCAAAATTGGTGCTGGTAGCATGACGCTACGGCTTTATAGCCTTTTGAAGTTCGAAAAGGAAATGACTCCGACTTCCACGCTTGCCAATTGATTAGTCCACCTGCGACGAAAAGTCAGATCGAAAGTCACAAGACCAAACGGACCAGCCCTGTAAGCAGGCTGCAGAAGTGACTGCTTAATAGTTGGCCAGTTCCATGGACGGAATAGGAATCGGGAAGTCCATGGTGATGACCAGAAGGGCAGGCTGGGTGTAGTGAAACTTTTTATGGCTGTCGAAAGCGAGATGAGAATTCCGGCATCCGAGTCCGAATCCCGTCGATTTATCCGACGTTTTGCCAAAATGCCGAGCAGTCATTTTTACATTATACATTTTCTGCATAAAGAAAGAATCATTTTCAGCTGTAAAGCTGGTAGATTTATGAAACCACTCGCGCGATTGCGCACCACCTAAGGGAGTAGACGCCTGATTGTTTGAATGGAGTAGCGTTTAATTCGTGCAGGAGTAACGAACATGCCTATAGGCGTATAGTTGCACACATGCTTCCTCTGTGTCAAAATGAGTGGAACTGTTATCTGACAGGGGTCCTGATGAAAACTGGTTTTTCAATGAATCGGGACATAAGTGACCGTCAATACAGGGTAGCGAAATCAGCAGTCAGCCGCTGCGTTTGATCCCATTTGTATTTAATTTGCCTATGTCTTGGTTCAAGAACACGGTGGTAGGCAGCACAGTAAGGTCACAAGATCTTACCTTGATATATTTCATCTGACGTGCACTTTGTGAAATGCTACGGATGCGGTTAAACTGTAAGTTAAGTTTTATTCTGTGTGTTGATAAGACAAAACTTGCATGTTAAGCTAAAACCAGAGCATGGACAGGTTTATCACGGTTACTAAGGCCAACGAAACACTCTTTATTCCCATCTCCTCTTAAAATTTCTTCCTCCCCTTCTTTTTATTCATCATCATCATCATCATCATCATCATCATCATCATCATCATCATCATCATCATCATCATCATCATCATCAGCTTGTTCTTCGTCTTCTTTTTATCTTTTTCTTCCGTTTCTGCCCGGTTTTTCGTCCTCCTCTTTGACTGACATTCCCTCGAGTCTATGTCTAAAGAACAAATATTCGATTTTATTTGTCAATGTACCAGGTCGCTTTCTCAAACAACAGACATTTGTTTACCTATCTCCAACCTCGTAGCAATTCTAATGCTCAAAACAGCAGCTTCCATCTCATAAAAAAGACATTTGATTTGCACTCTGTGGATTCCAGGCAGTGAGTTGTTCCACATCTTTCGCCTATACTATTGAGGTCAATTCATATGATCCTGTCTACGCATTATCTAAACTATACTGTCCGACGGGGCAAAGTTGGCCTATCGGTTGTTTCGAAATCTCCTCTTCGGGTGATGATACCTGCTCTAGGCTTCCGCATTCTGCCATAATACAGTGCGATCGAATTCGCCTAAATTGCCCACAAATATGTTATATTACAAGGCATTTTTATTGTAATTACATCTTTGGTGGCAGTAACAGCTGCCGAACCGCTTCCACATATTTAACTAATTGGATAAATGATCCCTCCGAAAGGCTTTTTAAGGAAAATCTCAGTGTGATTTCAAAAGATTTTCCGCACCGGTCTTATGGATCAAGTAAAAAATCTCGGTCTCCATAAACATTGCCAATCACTTGCGTTAATCTGTTTCTGTCTACTCACGATAACCCTTTCTGCTCAAGCAACTCCTACGGCTTGCGATGTTCCCACAATCGATGTGTTACTTGTCAGATTCTAGTCCATTTTATTAATTTTAGGCTCTAAGCACTTGCGACCTAGAATACTTATCAGTTACCCCCATCCCCACCAACGAATTCTAAATGACATCCGAAATCCCGTTTTAACAGTGAGATGTCAATTTTCGTCCCGTGATCACAATAAATTGGAGTTCCATTTGCGTATAACAGTACATTTTCAATCCCAGCTAACAGACACTGAGCTCGTTAACGTAAGAGTTGGTAGAGCGGTGTACTTAAGTGCGCGCTGTACAAAGGTTCAAGCGTCAGGTGCGCCGGCGTCTGCTCTTGGCTATCGCTAGATGGCAGCATTTCCCACTAATACTATTTTATTTGGCAACGGTGTCCCTTGTACTACTTCCCTGCCCGACAGTCGCCTAAGGCAACCGTGCACGTCATTTTTGCCCGCGGAAAATTTCGAAAGCCTTGCGTGTTGCTCCCGCTTGCCGATCTGCTACCTACTAGGCGAACTGGTAATGTAACTGTGATAGAATACCTGCACTCCCCCCCACCCATCTGCCACCCCCTCCTCACCAAACAAACTCCCCGAAACCGCCGTTTTGGTCGACACAGACTGCGCCAGAATATCAGTGCGGCGGACTTTCAGACCGGGCAAGCGATTACGCTGGATGATAAACTGTTATCAAAGAGGGCCAGTTCACTGTTTCAGCCGACATTGCTCGCCGTGTGACTGTGGTTCTCTAGAAAGCCGTCGTGCGCTTTAACGACCCCGATCCACAGCTTCCTTAATGACAAAATCCCCCATTTCGTCCTCAGATCGATCTGAGCGGGATGAGGCATGTAGTTTTTCGCACAAAACCAGGAGGGTGAAAGCGGGCAACGCGCATTGAGCTACGCCCTTCGATAACGGTCTAAAGTAGTGCCTAGTAGTTTAGACTTTTATGTAGATGATTGCTGAAAAAATTTAGGAGTCCATTTCATGTAATTATTTGCCGTAGTGAACACATATATAGGAGCTAAAAGCCCAGACATTCTTGTACTGCTGCCTGACGCAACTGCAAGGGATTCGACTCAACTGTGGGTCATCCAGCCTTCCCCGTGTGTTTTCTGGTATATTAACTCCAGTTTCTCTTTGTCTAGTTTAAATGCCGAGGAAATTAATGCGCGAACCTTGAGTAAATTTTTCGGAACAGACCTTTTCAGGAATTATCCGAATTTCGATGTGAATATTTGAGCTGAAATCCATCAGCTACTGCGGCATAACCGCGCAATAGTCACAAACCACCGGAAGGCAGTCAGTAATGTAGAATGGCGAAACACGCGTGTCTGGGCACTTAGCTAATACCTGTGTTGTTAGTACGGTAAATAATTACAAAATTCTATATCAGTGGCTGCCCGTTAGTGGTTTGTGAATATTGCGCGGTATTGTCCCGGATTAGCTGGTGGATTTTAGCTGAAATATTCATATCAAATTTCGGACTGTGCCTGAAAAGGTCTTTTCCGAAAGATTTACTCCAAACACTCACATTAATTTCCGAAAAAAATAAACTGGTGAGGAGTTAATTGTATGATGGCCTGGGGAGGGATCCCCACGATCTCGCCCATCTGGGCCTAGTCAAGCATTTTACAACGGCATTTGATTGCGGTGACAGTCGAATGTTAAACTAGAAGTGTACCAACATATTAGAAGTACTGTAACTAATTGTCTAGATTGTACACTGCTTACTGTGGACGTTTCTGATATTATTGCTGATCAGTTCAAGGCCAGTAGATCCCATCAACCGGTTGGCACGTACTCCGCCTTGTATTGAAAATAAATTGCTGAACATACGTACCCACAGGTCAGGAAGTCTATGAGTGCGTTAAGTTCTGCATGTTTTTTCATCTTCGCTTAGCTGACGTCTTTTTTCGGCGAAATATGTTGCAAAGGGGAAAATGTTTCACTCTACTTCTACCACCAGTAATGTCATCACTACCGCCAACGGCATTTCGACCGCCGTGGCCGAATGGCAATGTTCACGTGAACTCCTTTGTAAGGACAATTGACTTGCGTGATACCTACCGCACTCTCTCCTTTCCCCCAACTCGGATCCGGTGTCATGAGAGAGTCAAGACTATGGGAGGCGGGAGAGGACACAGGTTGTTGACACGGCGCAAAAATCACACCCAGGAATACAACCATACCCCTGGTCCACAGTGTACGTTGACCAGGATCTTATGCAACTAGGAAAAAAAAGGGCTGCTGAGATCCCAGTTGGCGCAACGTGAGCTGGCACTCGGGCGAGCCGTCACAGCCTGCTAATGCTAGAATCTGTTATAGTTGCGGATTCCCAATAACGCTTGCCGGACCTCGATCTATTCCTCGTGTTGGTCCAGCGCATCTACCTCCTGGCACGTTTCACGGATGCAGCACCACTTTCGTCACCATTGTTGCCGTTTTCAGCATCACGGAAGTCATCATGAGCGTCACCGTAAACGTCGCCGCGACTGCCATTCGGTTTTTAGTTAACGCCTGACGCGCTTTTCCAAGCCCCCAAAACGGTTATGTTAAGTGACACAAATACACTAATTTTAGAATGGCTACATCACCAACAGATCCTCGACCGATTTTTTAGGGATGGTTTTGCGTTGGAATGGCTTCTTTAGTTCCTGACTTCAAAAGAATGACGCCTCAACACACCTCTCCCCCTCTGACGCACCAAATTGACATTACGGGACTCTGCCGGACTAACGCTACATCTAGTTGACGATTTATTGTTCATCGATAGCTGCGTATTGTCGGCTGGCTAAAAAATAAACTTGGTGATACTTTTTTCAAAGTTGCGCTGTTATTTGTGATGAGATCACTCGCGCATTCCTTTATTCACTCAGGGCAGGTTGATCAACCTTATACTTCCAGCCGCAGATGACTAAGCGTGTGGTGGGTATTCGGTGACATGTCATTTGACTTCTTCCAGCTTTCCGATCGGATCAGAGGCTTGATCTTCCAAATCCGGATCGCTGAAGGGGGCCAATATGCCGAAAGTAGTCGTTTAAATGTCATTCGACCCTGCCGAAAATCCATGTGACGTAGATTTAACTTTGCGATTTCCGCATGTGTGAGCTCAGTACGGCCTCGGAAAAGATTGTGGCTCCGTAAGTTGGATACATGACCCTCGGGAGAACTCTGGATGCTATCCCACTTGTCTGCGCTTCAGCTTATTTAGGTTAGCCACACCTACTGTCTTAGAAAATTAGTATGATCTTCTCTTTCGTTCAATATCCCTGAATCTGTTGAACAATGTTAGAATAGAAAACCTTCTGTCAATACTGATAGAAGTATGTCATGAACGGTCTTCCCCATCTCCTTGTTCTTGCCGATTATATGTATCTTACCAAATGTGTGTGTGTTAATTTATTCCTGCGGTGAGAATCAGTGTCCCACAACTATTCAGTTCATGGACGAGGTTGTGCAGCTCAAAGATATTTATTATTTGGACATTGGTTGTCTCGTGTAAAATTTCATGGGGGCTAATACCCCCATGTACTTACCTTAATCTTCCAGCCCTAACCTCAACGTTAGTATTAACCCCTCTAATCCTGTCCCTCGTCCAAAAATTGCACCCTAAACCTTACCCTGCGGATAACGCTTATCCTAACTACAACCCCTGGAATTTATTGCAAGCTCACATATAATGAGACGGGCTTATATCCCCCCGTCAAACTTATTTCTTCACTAAATTTGTGATATAAAACGCACAGAAATCTCAGGAAAATATACTCCCAACATAAGGCGTGAGTTGGGTCTCACGAGGTATCAACCAAGCCAGTTGAGTAACCGGTCAAGGAAAAAAAAGTCTGTTAGGATTTCACTGTGATGCCACTATGTTCGATACATACTCCCATCTTGGTTCCTGTGTCGCGAATGTCTGCCCTTCGACGGTAACGTTTTACAGTCCCCCGTGTCCAGTCCACTGCCGCAGATGATTGTTACTCATAGACCGTGAATTTTTCATAAACGATAAGTCACGAACAGTATCACAAGAGGACTACCGGGACGTTTATTTCTTATTATCACTTTTTCTTCAATTCTGTCATCATTATAATCACAACTCGCTCGTTTAAAAGAGAAAATACATGCGAGTTCCTAAGTCCGCATTTATGTTTTTCTACAAAATCTGGACGCTTGTATCTAGAGGCTTACCAAACCTTCGGCGGTCTGATTATTATTTTTATATTATTCACACTATGATTCCTGGCACCCCTGATGGTCCACAGTGTGTCCTAACCAACGAGCGATCCTCACATGCAGACCTACCATCATGTGTATTTTCGACAGAAGAGTTAAACTATATTGGATTCAAGAACTGCATTTTTCAAGCAGTAGATTTCTGGAAAAAACATTGTGCTCAGGGACTAAGGAGGGAACAAATCTTGCATCTAAGTCAGTTAAGTCAGCTTATTAAGGGAATGAGGCTTTCGCCCTTGAGCTCCCTATTCATATCGATAAACAGAAATAGAACCATCACTTACATCAGCAAATGCGGAAATTCAAAAGTTAGCAGTAAGTGTGAGCCAGGCGCAAACTGCCGCCGCCAAAAACTATTGTGATTATATGTACAGTAGTTTCTCAGCAAATGAGCACCTCGTCTACACTAGAAGGATTCGACAGTTTCGGAAAGAACCACCGCATCAGGGAGTCCGTTCCATGGCCCTATGGCCCTGTGAGAGAAGGCGTTCCGTCGGACGTCCAAATGAGCCAGTTTCCTCGACAGTTTGAAGGGATGACCACGCAGACTGTCAGTCCCGGCCAATTCGAAGAATTCATAAAAGTCTAGGGCGCACTCACGGCCTCTGACAATCCTGTAGGCTTGAATGAGCTCGCCGCGCAATCGCCTGTAATTGAGAGGAAACAGATTTATTTCGGTCAACCTGGCTTCTTAAGGCAGATGATTAAGAATCTTGACCATCTTCGTAGCCATCGCCTGTACTCTTTTCAGTCTTTGATTATCTTTCTTCAACTCAGGTAAAAATCTACCTCAAAGAGAACTGAGGGAGAAAGAAAAATAATATTGTCTGTATTAGCTGCAATTACATACTAATAGCATGAGTGCAGATGTATTCGCTTTAAAGGCAACGTTTCATAGAACAGGAATCAAAGTGCGATTATGTCTCTTGTTTGTTGGTGCTGCAGACCAATTTCACAACTTTAGTTCGCATCTTAGCTACTATGTTGATTGGTTATTCCTTTACTCGCTGTTACTTCTTGTAGCCATGTCAATCTTCAGCGTACCCGGCATCTGCATGTCTTCGGAGTCGCCTCGGATACAGGTCCATCGTCCGGTTCGACCATCACACCTAAAAGCCCTTGCTCCAGGCAGCTATGCCGACGTGCCGGCACGACAAACCACCTCCCTGGACGACGAGGTGTACGCCGTTCCTGGACGGTTAGTGCAGCCTTGCGGCACAGCCTCCGTTTCCAACGTCCCTGTCCCCAGTTTAACACGCGCTCCACCACAGAACACTTCTCACCAGAAGGTCAACGCGTCCACAGATAGGGCCACCATGTCATACACCCCCGTTTGGAAACACTGCGAGTGGAGAGGTCGCAGCGAGAGCCAGCAAAATCCCAGCCAATCACTCTCCCAAATGCCCCCACGAAGAGTGACCGCACAGCATGCGGGACTGTTGGCAGGAGCGGAGAGGACCGAACCCGTTTCCATGAGCTCGGAGTCCACCTGCCGCAGATGTCACGCCACCCCACACCAGCCGGTGCCCCCCACGCTGATGGCGGGCAGTTCGCCCTCCACAGCGGTGATGTTTCCGCCCTACGCGACCGCTGTACCCGCTCTGGCATACTGTCTGCCATATCTCCCCTCCAGTCCGCCGACAATCCCCATGTGCGCCACCATTCCGACCCCTCTTGCCTGCAAACCCGACCCCAGCGGCGCTATTCGTCCACCTGTAGCGGTCGCCGCCGCTGCAAGCGCCTCCACTCCCTCCTCCTTTGTGTCACTGCCCTTTCGACAGGACCTGATGCCATTCCTTGCCCCCATTCCCTTTGTTCCCGCCTATCCCCTTCAGCGTGCGCCCGATCCAACATGTAATCAGGGCGAAACCTTTCAGCACGTTCAGCAGAACAGAGATAGCGCGACAGGCGCTGCAGACGTTCCAACTGCTGCGACACGACCGCCCTCCCAACCGCCGCCACAAGTGGGTTCTGCTGTCCGAACTGACGTAACTGCCGAAGCCTGCAGCGACCCACGAACCTCCTCTACTCGTCTCCAGCCCCTGCCTTTCAGCTATCCAGCCTCCCCGGATATTGTCTGGATGGTTCCATGGATAGTCAGTGACATTAATTTATCTCTTTGCCTGGCTTAATAATAAGGAAAAACGCTTTTTTCTCAGTCAATTGGCTATGCATGAGGCGGTGTGTCCTCCATAACTGGCATTCTAGATTTTGCGCTCTAATTGCACGGTAACTGTCACTCTATCGAGGACTCAGATTTTCTATTTTAAGCTAGGATACCCTATGTGCAGTTGGCGCAAATGTCAGTCAAATGGTTAACTGTTTACCTTGTTTGATTTCCGAGGAAATAAATGCGCGAACTTGGAGTAATTTCTTCGGAACAGACTTTTTCAGGCACGGTCCAGAAGTTGACACGAGTTGAGTTTATTTGAGCCCAAATCTCTAGGTCACTACTCCGAAGAATTTGATCCAAGTTCGCGCATCGACGTCCTCGGAAGTCAAACAAGGTAGAGGAAAGATGGAGTTCATATTACCAGAAAACGCACATGGAAGGCTGAGATACCCATTAATGAGCAGAAACCCTTACAACTGCGTCAGACAGCGGCATAAGATCGGCGAATCGAGCGTGTCTGGGATTTTAGCTAGTACCTGCGTTGTCAGTATGGTAAATAATTACACAGTAATTAACTGTCTTTTACTTAGAACCTAGAAACCAGTTGCTGACACAGAACACACATTTATGCAACCCTTGACAGACGTGATACTGTCAATTTTATGTACATTGCGGTATGAGCCCGGAGAATTTGGACGGACGCAATGGTATTTCGCAGAACCTTTTGGCCTATTAGTCTGGATTTTCGTTTATTGGGAACTGCTTTGAAGACGGCTGCGTGGAACTCGGCGGCCGTTGTGAAAATTTTGCCTACAACTGTAAATATCTAGACATCTCACGCGCAGTGTCCCACCAGTATGACTTTCCGAGTTTAAGCTATTTCTGCAGTTGATGAACGTTTCTTTGATAGAGATGGCAGATTATCTAACAACTGCAAGTTTACTAATCGGATCGGTTATTTTGCCATTAGTGAACTCTTTCACTTTTATTTTTCCATCATTTACTCACAAAAGTGTTCAGATTTGTTCAAACTTCCTCTTGCATCGCCCGCCATGGGATTTTGATAGATTCGGTTGCCGAAAGGCATAAAAGGAGGCGGGGACACAACCAAGAGAATTACTACTCCGACTTTGGGGTAATTTTTTAATACGGGGCGCGGAAGTTTGGGCGAACATCCTTGTCGATTGTACCAATCAAGCCTTCGTGGAAGTTGTTGCGCAAGCAGTGTGTGCTTATTCCCATTATTCTCGGTGATTGTAAAAATGCAATAGTAGAACCTTGTGAGAGCATAAATAAGACCTATTCTCTATTTTCTTGTTTTAAAAACTTGGGCGCTCATTAAATTGCGCATGAGGATTTTAAACACTCAACCATCTTTAGCGTATATTTAACGTAAATCATGCATCCTATTTCGTGGAGATCTTACAAACGCAATTTAGGTAAGTCCTCTAACAGCAATGGAAATAATAATAATAATAGTAATACCAATAGTGCAACCTTGTGCAGCTTCGAAGGCAACTCCGTGTGCTCATAAAATGCAGTAGATCGAAATGCTCTACCTTGTATAATCTGGAGACGTTATTAGTAGTGAGGTGAAGGGAAAAACTCTAAAGAAGACAAAATGTCTTGCAGAAAATCACAAAAATGCAATTTTTGAGAGATTCAAAGGAATTTACGTAGGCACAAAAAAGGGCTTAAAATACGCACATTACGTAGGTGACGATGTATCCGGGAGCTCGATTTGCGTAGTTGGCAGAGGGCATGTTCAACGAAAAGCCAGTATCCCAGCGTGTATGAATTAGCTTGTCCTTTTGTTTCCTCCAAATCAGTACTATTGTGCGCTTACTTAAGCCATATTTATTAAGGCAGGTGTTCGCCGTGAGCTCTGTCTAGGACGGATTTGGCAAAACACTGCTTTCCAGTAACCGGTAGACTGGAATGGAAGTTCACGTATTGCAATTTCCAATACGTCACATAAAGACACATTTTTTCATCAAAAATTCTCTCTTATCTCACGACTTCGAATTTTCGGCAGTCTTTCTTCAAACTCGCTGCCATTTTATCCAGAAAAATGACGCTTAGCTAGGCTTTTATGCTCACACTTCCCAGAGTAATTTGTGTCGCATTAGTAGCGCTGAATTCCTAACAATTTAACAGTTCTAGTCAGTGTTCCTTCAGCCTTACTCAGTCTTAAAACGCTGAGAAGGAACGTGTGCAAACGTCTGTTTGTATGGAATTTTCCCATACATTTGCATTCCCATTGTTAGAACTGTTAGGATGTACGCACTCCCACGAAATCGCGTATCTTAAACCGAGTTGGGATAATTTTAACCCTGTTGGCGAAGTTGGCATGTTGGAAACAGGAAAAAGAACTAGAACAGTAAGACGAGATAGGTGAAATAGGCAGCTGATTAGCTCAGCACTGATCAAGCGAACGGAAAGTGATTCAAGATTTGCTCATAGCTGATAAGTTAAATTAAGTTCCTTTGATCTGTAGAAGCAGCCATTCCCCATGCACTTTTGCGCTTTATTCAATTTCTCATCATCTCGTCTTTACTTCCTCCAGCCGCAGTCCTACTACCCAGGTTTCCCCTACGCACCCGCCCGAGTTGATTCGGTTGTCGTGGGGGACATTCTGGAGCCCGGATGCGTCCAAGTTGCGTCTTCACAGGCTTTGAAAAACTCAAAGTCACCGCTAACCGTATCCCCCTCGGATGCTGTCATCACCAGTCCAGCTCAACAGCCCCCGCCGCCGTCAAGGTCAGAGAAGGACTCGGCGGCCATGACACACCGCCGCCAGAGCCACTCTGCAGAGACGGTCTCCGGCACCGGTTCCCTCACAGACACCAGCTTTTGTCTGGCCTCCCTCGGCGGCACACCGCACAAGATGTTCCTGAGCAACCACTATGGGCCGGACAGGTCAGAGCGCGGACAGCAGAACAACGGATCACTCTGTCCACCGCCGGACGGCAGCAGTGTCTCCTCCGTAGAACGACTGGGTAGCCTGAACCGCAGTGCCAGCTTCTCAGCCAGCGACCGCTTGCGATTCCATTACTCCTGTTCTCCCCCTCCCCCTCCTTCGCAGTTCCGCCTGCCGAGATCGCACGCCTTCTATGCTGGCCTCTGGCCAGAGGCGGCTCACCACTTCGTCTGCTCACACTCGGCTGACGACCGCGGCGGTCCACCTCCGGACGGTCAACCGGCAGGATCCTTCCCAGAATCCGGTCAGACTCAGATGATCTCCTGTGATCATACCCTGTATTCCCCTAGGCGTCGTCCCTCGCAGACAGAATGATTCCCAGGGAGAAGATGGTTGCGGCGCCTCCAATACATGACCTCATAATGCCACTTGGTCTTATTTTGCAGTCAGACAATCACCTATAATATCCTTTTAAGCTTCTCCGTCAAGGTCTGTTTGTAATAAAATGTAACTGTGTACGCTAATGTGTGCAGGCTTCCTGTCTTCAGCGGGAGTGTGTTAGACGATAAAGTGTCCTATTTTCAACGCATCTTTTCAGCCTAAGTTGGAAGGGTTGTGGATGTGCGCGAGGTCGACTACGAGTAATTTCTCAAACTGAAAGTCAGTGAGACAGAGTTAGCAGGACAATCTTTACTGGGGCTCAGTGGTCGGCCGCCACACAAGTCCGCCCAAGTTGCCAGACAGACGTCGATGTTGGGTCATGCACCCTTGAGCCACATCTGGTTGTGACCAGTTTCCGAACGTTAAAATGTCGATCGGCGTCGGGGTGTCCTCAAGTCGAATGCTCAAACAGGTGACTGGCAAGTGGGTTCGGTCGCTGTTTTCACGCCGACTAGAGGGCACGCAAACTAGTAAAACGCTAAGTGGAATTTACGACTATGTCTGCGAAACAAGCGTTATTTCTTTGGTGTGGTGGGGGATTTGTGAATTCCATCTCATGCCGTCATCCTGCAATGGTGAACAACACTCGGCGTATGCGCACCCAAGGTTTTAATTAGCATCCACTGGCTCATTGAGCATGGACGTCCAATGATTGAGTTTTCGGGCTCGGATTCTATCGGCTGCGATTGGAAATACGCAGTTACTCGAGAGTGAGGTGCAGTGATCTGTCCTGTTTTTAAGACAAAACTAAGCAATGAAGGCGGAAATTCGAGTTTCAGGTGTATGTATCGGTGAAGAAGAAGGCTGGTCGATCACCAAAACAGCAAGTTTAGTGTTCCGAGCTTTCGAATCCGTACTGGAATCCATCGTCAGAGAAAGTAGCAAAAACAGAGCAGGCGACAATCATAGGACGTGCTGGTCAGTTGGGGGCAGATTACGCAAGGCTGGGGCTTGCTTGCGCAGCGTTCTATACGCCGGCGGCAGGTCGATAAATCGATTGACTGAGTTCCCGTCCGAGACCCAGTCTTCAACTAATATTCGGCCTGCTTTGTTCCCAGCGTGGGCGATTATCATTTTTGCTGAGAAGTTAAACTCATTATCCATGAAGAGCTCTGCCTGTTCATGGGATTTATGGTCTGTAGTCCACGCAGGTAGTGGCATGTCGAAAAGCAGGCAGTGACTGTCGACAGTACAATGGCCACTTGTGGTTTATTTGGCGACATAAGCCAGTGCTGCCAGCGCCCACACGACTTTCCACTAAGGACCCTGCTACTGTACTAACTGCTCGAGCTATGTCGGCTGAAATGGGTTGTACGTAATCACACGAGAGTGGGTTGCAACCAGCTATCCTGATTGCGGACATAAAACAAGCATTTCCACTGTTTATCGAAGCTGGGGCTGTGAAACCCACGCAAGGCGTTTGCATGGCAACCGTGGATGATGTTTTTTCGCGCACAACAGCGTGCTGCTCTGTTATTAAGCATTTCCCAGCCCGGTGGGTGAAGCACGCTATCGAAACGCCCACTACATCAGCGGCGTATACATTTTAGTCGAATATCATTTCATGGCTAAGGCTAATCACTTTACGTAGAAAGAATAAGACAAATTGCTAATTGCCCAAAATTCTCTCAGTGAGATATTGCTTGAGGCATTCAAGCATTTTGTTTCCCTCATGCAGTCTTTACTGCGTAGGTAGATCCTTTAACTCACTCAGTATTTAAACCACTTTGCGAGCTCGGGAAGGGGACACTATTACGGGCAGATTTGAGTTAAATTCCAAGGGAATTTGTGTTACGGTTGGGATCGGGGTTAAATTTGGAAAAAAAGAGCTAGGTACTCTTCCGGACAGTTTGTCCATAACCGCCCGAAGCGTTTTTAAAAATGTTTTTCTTGGTCTCTTAATGGCTTTGAAAAAAAATCATTGTCTTTCACAGAGTGTTTTGTACAATGACAATCTTAGGGCATTCAACGGGGTCTAAGAGACCAAGTTTATCCATGCGAACGTTCTAAAAATGCTCCGGAATTAAGAATACCGCTTGCTGAAATATCTCTCCCTCTAAATCCAAATGGGAAGTAAAAGAAAAATCGAATGTCCTACACTTCGACCATTGGAAGGGAATCAAGAGATGCGGCAGTACTGCATGAAGTGCGATCCGTTTCGTCTCCATACTTAAGCAAGTTGAAAACTCTTCTATCAATTTTCCTTTCAATTTAAGATACAGTTATCAATTTCCGTCGCTGCCACAATCTTCTCGGTCAAAATTTCTACTTGAGTTAACACTTCACCTCTGGTACCACCTCGGGAGTCTGCGGTATTCTCCAGTGGCTGGTCTGAACCTTGGTCTGTCTGTCACGTGACGGTATGATCACTCACAATTCTGCGACACACCTGGTCGCGCACAGTGGGTCAGATTTTTGCAGAAATAAGAAGTGGTTGGTTCGGATTACATCAGAGTGCGAGTAGTACAATAAAGGCCAGATTTGGTGGGAGCCATTCTGGTCTGCCTCTCCATCCTGAGGAGAGGACCGGGTTATCCCATCAGTTGGCCGTATTCCTAGCCGCAACGTGACGGTTCACATCGTTGCAGGCCAAGAACGCCTCAACTTGTTTACAGTAAAGAAATGCGCTGAAGTCCCTTGAGCACAGAGTGCCCGGAGTCGATCATATATGCATATTAATGGACGTGCTTCCACAACAAACTCCCCATTAATAGGGCGATTGACAGACCGCTCAGTCAGTGGACTACATGGGATCATGTGCGAAACATTCCCATTGTCGCCCATCTCCTAACCTTTACGTCCAGTAGCCTTTCGGGGGGCACTACAAGGCAACCTCGGGGGAAAAAACCTAAATGATCCTACGTTTTAACCTACAAGTTGTTGGTAATAAATGTGCTTTTATCAAACTTGCTACGACAGGAAATCTACAGCTTTGGTTTCTCTTTATCGAAAAAAACTGTAATACCTTCTAATTAGCATCAGTGTGAAGGCCTCGAACTAGTTGGCCCTGCTGGATGAGGTAATTGCCAAGGGAAGCGTCCCCGGAGAGATACGGTGGGGTATTTCCATTAAGCGAAAAATGGTTTAAATAATTAGATGCGATCTGCGAATTTTGGGAAATTTCGACATCTTGCTCGAATCGAGGAACTTGAATTCCTCGGCATCTTTGTGGTTACGGACGAACTTGTGTTTTTGCCCAGAGAAACGTCTTTTATCCGGATTGTTGCACATCCTGTCCGAAATTATGTGACTTGATCTACTGATGATCAAAAAAGAATATCTCAACTTCTAACAACGCGTTCCAATTTATGGTAATGACGATTCGATTCCCAGGTGGCATATCAACACAAGCAAGGCGAGCGGTTTAGCGGAGTTCTGACATTTTTGATAGTCACGGATGGAAGCGAATATACGAATCCCAGGTTCTTGTCGCAAAGAAAGTAAACACACGATCTCAGTGATAGTAGGCGTATTAGTCTGAGCTTTCGGTCTCGTGCAGGAGTCCATCGTCAGAGACAGTGAGAATGCGACATCAAATGAGCGGTTTTTGTAGTCAAGCCATGAAGGGGGAGGGGAGATATTAATGCAGCGGAAGATATTCGCGATAAGTTGAGTCCCACGCCGTCTCACGGTGGCGTGACTATGTGCGCCCTTGGCTGGCAATTTGGTCTCGCCTCTTGGCCTCGGCGGGAACGGGGCGAGTAATAGCAGGGGGGTATGCCAACGTGTCTGTTGATAGAGTTGGTGTCAGACGCCCAGGCCTCTAACAGTTCTCGTCCTGTCTTATTGTTGGCCCGCGCTGCTAACTGCGTGCTCGCGAAGTTGAATTCGTGGCCTTCATCCAGGGTGTGAGTGACGATCTGAGACAACGGCCAAGCACACTGTACGCCAGAAAGTAACCTCCCTACTGCTGACGAACAGGCCCATCAATAATATGTCGCCCGCAGAAACAGAATCAGTGAAGGAATTTAAAATGGACAAAGATATAATAGTGCTGCCAGTCGACAAAGGAAGAGCAACCGTCGTGATGAGCCGCGTTGACTACAACGAAAAGGCACAAGTCCACCTCAACGATCAACAGGCCTAGAAATCCATGCCTTCCTCGCGAGCCAAATCGATGATTGATCATTTGACTAAACTCCTGAACCGACTCAAACGGAACAGTGCTATATCGCTAGACGAATGGCGACAGATGAAACCAGCGGACGCGGCACTGGCCCGGTTTTATAGATTACCCAAATCCACACGCCGAATGTTCCCCTTCGACCGATCGTTGCCTTGAAAGGCAGTCCCACTTACAATCTATCCAAATGGAATGCCCGAAAACCTAACTTTCTCCGAGAAGGCTCGAGAACCTCCATCATTTTGGCCTTCCAATTCCTGACCGACAACCGAGGAAAAGTTGTCCGACCGGATCATATTATTGTGTCCTTTGACGTGGTTTCATTATTCACGTTCATCCCACGGGACCTGACACGCGACGTTCTTCGCAAACGACTCGAAGAGAATTACTCCAAAACAAACAAACCCCTAAAAATCGACCACTTACTGCAACTGTTTGCTTTCTGCGAACAAACCTTCTTCACCTTCATTGTCAGAACATACGAGCAGATCAAAGGAACGCCGATGGGCTCGCCAATATCCAGCCTGGTTGCTGAACTAGTCCTGCAGGAACTGGAAAAAGTCGCCTTCGACCACTATGAACCGGCATTTTGGCGCCGGTACGTGGACGAAACGTTCGTTATAATTGAAAGGAACAGACTGGCCGACTTTCAAGACCTGCTCAGCGGCATCTTCCCGGACATTCACTTCACAAGGGAAGAAGAGCATGCCGAAAAGCTGCCTCCCCTTGACGTTCTCGTCACACGCACACCCAACGGCGAACTCAACACCACGGTGTGCAGAAAGGCGACTAACACGACTCAGATTCTCAA